GGCTCCGAACCGGCACCGGCACCGGGCGCCCGCGGCAGCGCGCCGGGACGCGGCCCCACGGCCGGCGAGGCCATGGCTCGTTGCTCGGTCCGGTCCGGCCCGGCGTGGGGAGGAGGAGGAGGAGGAGGAGGAAGAGGCGCGGCCGGGGGGGGCGGCACCGGCCCGCCCCGAGGGCGCCGCCCCCGCGGGAATCCCCCGCCGGGCTCCCCACGGCTGCACCGCCCCCACGGGGACCCCCCCGTGGGACCCTCCGCCCTGAGACCTCCCCCCACGGGATCCCCCTCCCTGAAAGCTCCCCCCACGGAGCCCCCCTGAAAGCTCCCCCGCAGCCCCCCACCGCGGCACTCGCACGTCCCTTCGCAGGGCTGCGTTGGGGCAGGTTGAGCGACAAGGACGGTCAGCACAAACTGCCCCCCACCCCTTATTCCTTTTATCCTTTGCCAAGAAATAAATCCCTTTCCCTTGGCGCCCAGCCCTGCTCAGACGCTGCGTTAAGGAGAGGGCAGCAGCCCCAGGATCAGGGCTCCAACAGCCTGTGGTAAATCCCAGCTGGATGGAAAAATGATGCAAGTTATAAAATGGGGAGAATCCCAGAAAATAATTTGTGGGGGGTGGGAAAAAAGCCTTTAAATGACAGTGTAGTTGTACCCCTTCCATAGGGAGGAGCCTGGCTCAGCTGGCGGGATGGTGGTTTTAAAATTAAGAGCAATGGGAATGCTGCGAAATGCCCTGTGCAGGGGAGAGCTCTGCAGGCGCCCGCAGCCTCTCCAAGCTGGAAACCAGCCCCAAAGCATCCCAAAGTGCCCCAAACGTCCCGCACTCCCCTCTATCCTGTTTCTGCCACGGGAAGCATCCTGCTCCCGAGCTTTTGCCTCACATTCGGCAAGCCCAGGTGAGTGGACAGCAGTGTATTCTCAATAGAACGTCGTTCAAGCACACAGACACAGAGCGCGGAACAGAAACACCCCCAACAAGGGGATCCCTCGGCTTCCCATTCCCCCAGCTGCTGGCAGTCCCGCGGATCAGGGGTGCTGCCTTGGCCGGCACCCGCTTGTCCCATGGGAATGCCCTGGATGAGCCCATCCGGCAGCGTCAGGCCTCCTGCCCAGCGCGTGCCGGGCCGGGGCCGCGTCCACAACCTCCCGGGCAAACTCGGCAGGCTCGAGGCTTGCAAACTGCTCGAAGCCAATGCTGTGAAAGGGCCAAAACGCTGGAGCAGAGACGGAGGACAAGGAGAGTTCCCGAAACACGGACGCTGCCCTCGCCATGGGCCGAGGAGCAGGAGTGTTGCCATCCCCGGGAAGCACCGCTCACTCCCGTAGCTCCAAATCCACCGCGTCGCTCAAATTCCGGCAGCGGGAGCAGCCCCTTTTAACCTGCAGGAGCAAAAGAGGAGGATTTAGCTGAGAGAGGCCCCCAACACGACCACCCTCCTTCACCCAGCCCCAAAACTGGCGGGAGATGTTGGGTCTGGAACCAAGCTTTGAGCTGGTTCCTGCGTCTCTTGTATAACTGTTCATATCAAAGCACGACAGACCCTTTCTTGTCCCTTTTTTTTATTCCCTCATTTTTTTCATTTTCATTTTCATAAAAGCACATCTGGGATGAAAGAGCCTAAATCAATGAATTCCTTTCTTTTCAAACCTGATCCAGAAGCTTCTGGAGATTTTGATATTCATGCTGCTGCTTTGCACTATGCTCCTCAAAAAAGGGAAGCACGAGAGGGTTTTGCCAGCAGCAGGAGGCTGGTTTTCCATGGAGTTTAATCCAGGAACAGAAAGCACCTACTCCTCCGTGGCCTCCAGCAGCCAACTGAGTGGAGCAACACACGAAAAACACTGGGAACAGGGAGGTGCAAATGAAATAGCATTTATAGGAGATCATGCTCAGGCTTCCCAGAAGGACGAATGTTCCTGCGCTGCCAGAGCGTGACGTAAGCCCAGTGTCATTGCAGCACCCTGGCGACCCGCTCGTGGTCCCGGTTTGGGGAAGCGTTCCCGCGCGCTCCTCACCGCTCGATGATGCTGTTGTTGACCTGCAGCTTGCACGTGACCGACCTCATCTGCTCCAGCAGCTCCTGCATCCTGCGGGGTCCCAAAGCAGCCCTCGCTCAGCCGGGGCTCCGCTTGCCCCGAACTCGGCGTCCCGACACCCGGCTGCTCCCCCTGGATGCCCAGGACTCACCTAAGGGCCATGTCTTGGCGTGCCGGGTTCGGGAGAGCCGGCGAAGGGGCCAAATGTCGCTTCTCCATCAGGAGCGTCTGGAGGAATCGGTCCAAGGCCTGCGGAGACGGGAGGCTGCTGTTTCCTAGGGGCTGAGCCCTGGGCACCGACCGGGAGGAGCGGGGACGTCCTGGGACGTGCCCAGCCAATCCGCCCCATCAGGACAAGCGAAATAAAACAAGGACCAGGGCATCTGCTGGGTGTCTGGACAGCAAAATTCCAGATGATCCACCAGGAACACTGGTGCTTATAGACAGGGAGCCACCGGCTCCGGTGCCTCTGCTGAGGTTCCCTCTCCCTTTGCAATGCTCAGCAGAGGAAGCAGCCCCGAGCACTGCTTCAGCCCCCAAACACTGCAAGAATTCCCGCTTTGGGAAGCAGCCCGTGGGCTTCCCTGCACACGTGGCCCCGCTGGCGTGCCGGGGCCGAGCACCCACGCGCTGCAGGCAGTCCTGGCACTCGGACAGCGCCGCGCTGCCCGCGCCCGTGCAGTTGCTGAGCCTCTTCAGCTGCTTCTTTATCTCGCAGACCTTCCTAGCGAGAAAAGCACAACACAACAAGAAGAGAACGCCAGTCAGTGCTTAGCAGCAAGGTGGATTTGTTTCCTTTGCGTTTTGTGGGGTTTTCTGCAAGCTTTTGAAGTTAAAATCCCAAAGGCAAGCGGGTGTACACAGCAGGGCTGTACCCCCAGCTGCAGCGGGGCTATCCAGGGAGCAGGAAGAGCAGATTCCTTAGGGAAAGCGCAAGGCCGGGACTGCCGCCCCGAGTGCTGCTCAGGCTGCTCTCCTGCCCCGGCCAAGAGCCTCCCCTCTAAAAACCACTTGGGTTTCTACCGAGGCGAGGGCTGCTTTAGGATTTGAGGTTTATAAGGGCTGGGAGGATTCAGCAGCCCCTGCTTTGCCCTGGATGCTCTTCTGCATGTCCCATTTCTGCGCGGGGATTATTACACAGCCAGGTAGGAAGGCACAAAGCTCCGACCTGCTCCATCCCGGACCCCTGGGCCCCGAGGCCGCGACTGCAGGTGCCCCAGGGCGGAGGGGCCGTCTGCCAAAAACCATCCCGCTTTGCCCTGGCTCCAGACCAGGGAAGTGTTTAAGGTGAGCGGTCCACGTGCGGGCGCCAGAAAAACACCCACCAGACCACAAACCCGGGGAGCAAAGTCGAAACCCGGCCATTAAACCTGAAGCAAAGCTAAATCTAAACTCCAGCTGTGACTCATGAGGACAGGAAAACAGGTACAAAAATAACCCAGGAAAACAGGGAGAGTCTTTGTTTTCCCCCTGCACAGAGCTCTGGTCCCCGTGCTGGAGGGTAATGCATGGATCTGCATGGATCTGATGCAGGTTCAATAGATCAGGATCAGGCTGGAGAGCCCTCTCCATGGGAATCCCTGTCCCCGTCAACCCAAACCCAAAACCCCAGGTCAGGAGCAGGTCTCTGTGCGAAGGCATCATAGAAAATCAGTCTTTTTCCACCTGCACTTATACCCAGAGCGACAGACGATCTGCTTTAAGAGCAACCTTGCACTAAAAATCTGTTTTCTGCGACATCTTTTTCTTCTAGATGCCTCCCCCTCACCCCTGCTCTCTGCTGCAGCCGTACCCAGTGCATGGCACTTGATCACTGCAAGATAATTTGATCTTTGCCTTATTCCCCAAACACCCTTTAACGCAACATCATTCCCAGGGAGCAGATCTCTTCATCTCAGTAGCAATTTTGTCCTGGTACAACCACCTCGCCCTGGCAAAAAGCGAGGAACCAGCTGCCTCAAATGAAGCCCCAACATTTGGCTGGGTCGGGGCTTTTCTTATGTCATTTTAAACCCAAAAGCAGCTCTCATGGCAAAGCAAAGTGCTGCAGCCGGCGGGTGAGACCCCAGGAACGGTACCTCATTCTGCTCCCGTGCAGAGCCAGCATCTTTTGGTACCTCTGCACACAGTCATCTTGGAAAATCTGCAGCACCTTCCTGGCCAGGTGCCCTAAATTCACCCTGAAGACAGGAGAGGAAAAGAGAGGAAGGGGAAAAACGCTATTTCTATATAAAGCATGAAAATAAGCATCACAATTTAGCTGCGAGGAGGCCCAAAGCGGGCTGCAGCATTGAGCACGAGGCGCTGGACACTCATTCAGCAGCTCATTACTCACTTGTCCAGCTTGTGTATTTGCTCCTCGTTATAGCCCAGCCCTGGAGGGGAAAGACACAGTGAGCGGCAGCTCGGCCCCTTCGCGCTCCTAACTTGGGGAATGGGCAACTCCGGCTTCCCAGGGGAGCCGGAGCCCGGGGCTATCGCCACCGCAGAGATAAATAGATAATAGATAGATAGATAGATAGATAAAACCAGCAAATCAGCAGTAAAAGCGGGTCACTGCTGCCGTGCAGACTGAGCAGCTCCTTCTTGCCCGCCACGTACGCAGACACGTCCTGGCCTGCTTGAACTGCTTGTGGATGAGCTGCATCTTCTCCAGGCAGCACTCGATCTGCTGCGTGCTGCAGGGGACACAGAGTCCTGTTGGCTCCCCCAAATAGTCCTTATTTTTTAACCCGTGGAAAAGGAGAGGGTGATAAAAGGACACGAGAAGACCCGGGCAGGGCGCTGCACGGACCTCTTGTCCTCGAGCACCTCCCGGCCGTGCGCGGCCAGCTCGTCCAGGATGCCGTCCAGCTCGGCGCGGTGCTCGACGACGTCGTGGGAACGTTGCGAGAGGTCCCCCAGCACCTGCGGACGGGTCGGGACGGGTCGGGACGGGTTGGGTTGGCTCGGGTCGGGCGGCACCAGCGCCAGCAGGGCCACACACAGGGACTCACAGCTTGCAGCCGCGTCCTCACGGCGCCGAGCTCCTGCAGCGCCGGCGTCACCCCGGCGCCACCGACCGCCTCCAAGCTGCCATAAAGCACAAGGCAAAAGGGTCACAGGCAGAAAGGGCTGCTGTTTTGCAAGGGAGCAACACGGTGCGGCACCAAGGGGTGCAGCCGGGACCATCCGAGACGTCCCTGCAATTTGGTGGATGTTGCATGAACATCTGGGTTCCCACTTGCACAGGGATAAAAGCCACCTTGGCACCGACAGTGCGGCTGGGCTGGGAGTCGGCTCAGTGGAAACGCTCGGTAATGGGGTAAAAAATGGGGGGTTAGAGACAGCAGGAACCCATGGAGTTGCTCTGTAGCCAGAGAGCCAGGACTAACAAGAAACTGGAGACGGGTAATTAACACTGAAGCAGAGAGGGAGAAAAAACCCCGGGTGGCTCCTTTCCTGGTTCCTCAGAGAGTGGAGAACTTTCATGTTCCAGTTACCAGTTTGTTCCAGGAACTGGAGTTATTTCTGATTACCCAGGCACCGCTGAGAGCCCCACATCTTATCTGCAACCTACTGATGGCCCCAGAGCTCCTGGGGCTGCAAGGAACCCCCGAGGCCCCCGCTGCCACCTGCCCCCAGCCCCGTCCCGGTGTCCAGCGCTGCCGAACCGGCCCCGAGAAGCCACTTACAGCCCGCGGGTCTTCGCCTCGGTGAGCTGCAAGCAGGTGAGCAGTGCGAGGGCTCCCCTCCGCTGCTCCAGGAGCCGTGAACACTCCGTTTTCAGGCTGCCGCTGCCAACATAGAGCACAGCCCGTCCGGACGCGGCTCCGGAGCCGGCGCCGCTCCCAGCCCGGGGGTCCCGGGGGGCTGCGTGGGACGCGGGGACACTTACGTGACCCAGTGCAGCCCGCGCAGCAGCAGCTCCCGGCCGCGCCGCAGCGAGCGGGCGACGCGCAGGGTCCGGTGCGCGGCGCCCACGGCGCTCTGCAAGGCAAAGGGGCCCTGCGCGCGGCTGCCCGGCGCCGCGGGGGGTCCCGGGCCGCCCCGCGCCTACCTTGGCCGTGCTGCAGTCGGCCACCACATCCACCTTGGGGGCAAACTTGGGGAAGTCCAGGGCGGCTGCAAAGAGGGGGCACAGCGAGGGTGGAGCGGGACGGATCCCGCGCTCCCGGCCGGATCCCGCATTCCCGGCCGGATCCCGCGCTCCACCGCGGAGCCACAGTGACATCTCGTGCCTGCTCAGGCAAAGCACTGAGACAGCTCGGTCCCAACTCCCACACTCCAAGCAATTCCAGAGCAAAAGCGCCTGGAAGGCTGGGATGGGATGGAGAGCAAAGGGTGCCTGGAGACACGTGCATTGGGCAGCTGAGTCTGTAGCCTCCTAATCCTGCACCCCAGTCCCTGCTCTCCACACTGGGCCGGGCCCCATAGAACCCAAATCAAATCCCTCTTATGGGAATTGCCATTGGAGACTCCCTGCCTGGGCTGGGAATGCTGCAGGGCAAGGCCCAGGGCACTCACGGTCTCTGTATCTGAGTCCCACCGGGTCCTGGGGCTCGGTGCTCAGCAAGGCCAGCGGGTTGTGCTCCGTGGTCCTGCGGAAGTCGTGAGCTTGTAGGCTGGGATCCAGCTCATATGGATGGCCCTCGAAGTAGTATTCCTGGTGGTGCGGGGCGATGCTGGTTTGCTGGGACACGGCGTCCAAGAACTTGGTGGTGCTGAAAGGTGACAAACACAACAGGGTATTGAGTGAGAAATGAAAGGAGATTTCCTGCTGTTTTGTAGGACCAGGCTGCTCTGCTTCAACCAGCTTTAGAGGGAACCAGTCCCCCCACAAAGGTCACATCCCCAAACTGGGAGCTGAGGCTCCTGTTCCTGCACCTGATGCCCAGATGAGGTGTTTAGCGAGGCCCTTCCCAGGGCGTCCTTACGTGTTGTGGGAGTGGATGTAAATGCGATGCAGGGAAGCCTGCTGCAGGGAGAAGACATCAACCACCATCCTGTGCAGGATATCGCTGGTTTCTGCAAAAAACTGGTCAAATCCCCAGCACTTCTCCTGGTCTGCCTCCAGGATGTTAGCCAGAATTGGGATCAGCTGGACTTGCAGCCCCCTGCAGCAACAAGAGGAAGAAAGAAGAGCTGTTTCTAGCCGCCTCTGCAGCGGGGTTTCCTGCAAATAGGACACGTCCTCGTGTTTCAGCTCCTTTCCCCAGCTCTGAAAGCGGGACTGCCCATGGCCGCCCCGCAGGACACTCACATGGAGAGCTGGCAGGTGGCGGGCAGCTCGTAGCTCCACTCGATGCTGCCGTTCTCCTGCCGCTGCACGCCCGCGATGGCTCGCGGCGGCTTCTCCCTGGTGATCCTGTACCTGCCGGAAAGCAGGCGGCTGCTCCAGCCCTGCCGCGAGCCCGGCACTGCAGGGCACCGCAGGGCACTGGGACCCTGGGCTCAGCACAAGGAGCTTCGTGCCAGGAGAAAACAAAGGGGGAAAAGGCGCCAGCAGGGCGGTGCGCGGAGCTGAAACCCTCATCCAGGAGCCCTAAACGTGCTCCTCGCCGGGAGAGCTACATACATGACCTCCTTGTTCCTGCGAGGGCCGCCGAAGGGGATGAAGGGCAGGCTGCCGGTGGCCGCGTGGTAGAAGGTCACGCCGATGCTCCACAGGTCCACGGCGACGCCGTAAGCCTTTTGCTGGGGCTTCCGCAGAACCGCTCTCTCGTACATGTCTGGGTGCTAAAGGGAGCAAACATTTCCTGAAGCTTTGTCATGAAAACGCTGCATCTGAATTTTCAGCGTCTGAAAATCTGACCCCTTTCAAGTTTGCCTCTGCACATAACTCGTTAGCTCTGAAAGTTGCCCCGCTGTTGGATGGACACCGACCTCCACAGCACATTGAGCTGTGCTGACAAAAAGCCCTGTATGAATCCATGGGGACCATGCAAGAAACCAGCCCAGCGTTTCTCCTTCTGCTCTCGTGCATTTTCTCTGCAACTTGACTTGGGGACTGGAGTTTGGTCCCCACTACGTTGGAGTGGAGACCTGGGGCTCCCAGCACTGGCTCTACTCACGAGATATTCCTCCGTCCCATAGACCGACACAAACTTCTCATCATCATCCAGCTCCCGGGCGGCCCCGAAATCTGTCAGCTTGTAGATGCTCTGCCCGTCCTCTCCCACCAGCCGCATGATGTTCCCGGGCTTGATGTCGCGGTGGACGATGCCGTTCTCGCGGAGATGGTTCATTCCCGCTACTGGGAACGGGGGGAGACGGTGCGTTTGGGGAGAGCCGCGTCCATGTGCTCAGGCCGGGGCTGATTAAACATGGTGGAAGGGGTGGGATGAGCCGGAGCGCATCCCGGTTCCGATACGCACCCACGCACTGCAGCACGATGAGGAACTCGGACTCGGCGAGGCCGAAGGCGTTGGCGGGGTCCTCCAGCACGCTGAGCAGGCTCCCGCTCGAGCAGTACTCCATCACCAGCACCTTCTGCTTGCTGCTTCCCTGCACCGGAGCGGAGCGGAGGCAGGATAGCAGCTGGGAAGAGCTGTGCCCCAGCCCTGCCCAGGAGGTCCATGGGCTCCTCCCGCTCAAATCGGGACACCCAAGAGCTGCCCTCTTCCCCAAACACAGCCCTGGTGCTAAAGACACGGAGGGATGGGTGACACCGACCAGCTCCCAGGGACGGGAGCAGCATGGAGCGGAGGAGCAGGCGCTGAGGGGAGGACAGCGGCTGTCCCCATCAGACCTGTCCTCTCTGCGTCACGGCCATGCTCCAGCCTTGGCCTCCCCAGCGCCCCCAGCCTCCCTCGTGCCGAGGGCTGGGTAAGGGTTGGTAATGAAGCACAACGAGTGCCCATCCTGGCACCCATGGAGGCGGCTGAGCCCAGCTCGCCCTTACCGTCTCCTCCACGGCGAAGAGCTTGACGATGTTCTTGTGGTTGAGCTTCCTCAGCATCTCAAACTCCCTCATCTGAACCTCCTGCGGCCTGAAGTAGCTGGCGTCATTGAAGACCTTCACGGCCACCAGCTCCCCTGACTTCTGCGCCAGGAAGAGAGCAAGAAAAACAGAGCTGGAGACAGGGCGGTTTGTGCCCTGCACCAGCCTCGTCCGGAGAGGAGCTGGGAGAGCCAGCGGAGTCGGGCAGGGGCTCCCGCGGGCTCGGAGCAGCTCCCCTGGCCCCCGGCCTGTCCTGGTCACCCACTGCTTCCCGTTGCAGCTCCAGTGCCCCAAGCAAACCCGGCTCCTCCGCTCGGTGGGAGCTTCAGGGCTGGACCGGGGCCACCGCTTCCCTCCGCGGGGCCGCCGCTCACCTTGTTGCGCGCCCTGTACACGCAGGCGGTGGCCCCCTGGCCCAGCACGTCCTCGGGGTGCCACAGGTAGTTGGGGGTGCTCTGCATGGCCGGCGCTGCGGGGGGCGAGAGGCGAAGCCGGCGTCGATCCGGGCGCTTCCCCGTCCTGGAGGCCGCGCGGAGCCAGGCGCCTCCCCCTGCACCCAGGCCTATCGGCTTGCACAAGCCGGCGGCCGCGGAGGAAACGCTCGGCTTCCTGCTCCCGGAGCAGGAATTCCCCGCGTTGCAGCCGGAGCCGCTGCCGGCGCGGCCGGTTCCCCAAGCAGGGCTGCAGCCATCGCCAGCTCCCGCCGGCCGCGAGGCCACCGCGATGGGCGCCAGCCGCGGCGCCGCGGCGCCCCGGGTGCTGGGAGCAGCAGGAACCGCCGCGCGGAGCAGCCAGCCCTGCACAACAGCCCCGTGCAGATTCCCAAGCGTTTCCTCCTCCAGCAACCAGAACTGTGCAGCCCATGTGAGTCACTGCAAAGCACTTCTGCAACATCTGGGGGGTGTCAAGACCCCCAGGGCAGTTGGGCCCCATCAACAGCTCCAGGAAGGAGATGGGGGCGGCCTTTGAGCTTGAGCTGGGGGAGCCCCCAAGCTGCAAAATCCCTGCAGGACACGGCGGTGGAAGCGGGTGCAAACGAAACACAAATGCAGGAGCTGCCCGGGGCCTCCAGGAAGGGCCTCCTGATGCCCAGGGTGTCCTCAGGGCAGCACCAGGTCACGGTGTCGGCCAAAAGCAAAGTAAGTTGAGTCAAGTGAAACTCTTAAGTCGTTGAGACTCCGAGCGGGAGGAGATGGCGCTCGGGTTGGGCTCAGCCCCCCGAAACGGTGCGAGCGCCTTGGGATGGGGCAAGACGAGGGGGAACCGGTACCTGGGCTGCCCTTGGCTGCGGCGCCGCGGGTCCCTGCTCCGGTATCACGGATCCCTGCTCCGGTACCGCGGGTCCCTGCTCCGGTACTGCGGATCCCTGCTCCGGTATCACGGATCCCTGCTCCAGCACCGCGGGTCCCTGCTCCGGCACGGCCGGGATGGGAGCGAGCCCCACGGGACGGCAGGGATGTTGCGGGAAGCAGAAGCTGCGGGTCATGTGATGGAGCTCGGCTGCAAAAAGAAAGCGAAACAGCAACTTTTCCAGCCCAAACTCAGGCCCACTGCCGCAGAGATCCCTGTGTTCGCCGTGCAGCTGGAGAGGCGCCCGTGCCGCGCTCCTCGCTGCGGCTCGTGGAGGCGGGAAGGAAACTCCTAAAATATCTGATAACACTAAGGAAAAGAGCGCGATGCCCCTGGCCCAGCTCCAGCCTCCACGTTCCCCCAGCAGAGCCCACTCCCTCCACACGCCCTTTCCCTCCCTTTCCCAACGCTCGTGGTCCCGCTCCCTCTCTTTCCCGTTTTCCTCCCTTTCCCGATGCTCGCGGCTGCCGGGACCGGCCGCTCCGGCTGGGGGCAGCAGAGCCACGGGAAGAGGCCGGCGGATCCCGACACCTTCCCGCGGGAATCCCGCGCGGAGCCCCGGCCTTCCCCGCGCTCCCACCGGACACCAGGCACCGCTGGCCGCCGCTCAGCGTTTCCACCATTCCCAGAACATTTATTTCTCCCAAGCTATTGCTAATGACAATGGATACACTTCGTTGCCCCCGTATGGGCTTCAACATTTCCAACACATGTCAACTCCTAATACTGTACAATACTGTACCAAAAAGGGGAAAAAGAAAATGATGTACCTCCATATTGTACAGTTATATATACAAAGTACAATTTTACACAGTTTAATATATACACCATATATATATCGGTGTAGAAGACACGGAACAATGAAACTTTGAGCAGGAGCATTGCATCCCACCATCAATAGTTGCTGCCAATAGCAAAGCAAGCCCCAAAGCGCCGCGCGAGCCCCGTCCCGAGGCTTCAAGCCCCAGGGGGTTTCTCCCCTTGGCCGTGGAGCTCGCAGCGGCGAGCAGAGCCCCGCGCCGCCCACGCTCGTCTCCCAGACGTGGTGGGGAGGGTCCGGAGCGGCGGCCCGGCGCCCGCCCGCCCCGTCCAGGACGAACCGGGCTCTCCCAGCTCACGCTGGGTCAGAGGCAGCACCGACACGTAGCAGGTCTGGGCTTGTTCCAGGCCCGGAGGGGCTGTTCTGCACCTGGAGACCCTCCCTGGAGACACAGGACACGGCCCAGCAGCATCCCAGTGCCACCCTGGCCCCCAAGGAAACATCCCTGTTTCTCCGCTGGCCCCTGCGGGACGTTGGCCAAGACCAGCTCCTGGCACAGCCGGGGTCACAGTGCTGTGACAAGTGCAGGTGGCAAAGCCAGCCCTAATTCGCTAAACCCAAACACGGGCTGAACTCAGGGGCTTCGGCCAGGGGTGACTCCCGCTCTCCCGCGAAGCCGGTGCTGCCGCCCCGTCGCTCACCGTTTCTCCAATGCAGCCGCTTCCAGGGGCGTTTTCCCGCTGGCCCTTTGCTTTCCGTGTCCCTGTGGTCCCTTTGGAACAGCAGCTGCTTTCCCGGCTCCCTCCCCGCATCCCAGCCATCCCAGCCCACCCGCTCAACACGGCCAAGCATCGCAGCGCCAACGCGAGACGCCTGCTTCACTTGGGGGGGGGAACCCAAAAAACCCAAATCCCCCCAAATATTCAGCAGCCCCAAGCCCTGCAAGGCTGGAGGCTGTTCTGCAGCACGAGGACGGGCGCGGGAGCCCGTGTCGCTGGAGCACCCCGAGCTCGGCAAGGTGGGCGCCCTGGGGCGGCCCCCCAGGCAGGCTCCTGCCCAGCGCCAAAGCGCTTCGCTTTGCAAATAAATTGATGAGAACCTGGTTACCTTAACCTACTTCTGTGCAAGAACAACCTTGCCTTCAAAAGGAAAGGAATAAACCCCAGCACAACCCTCCCCCCAAACATGAGGTATTCAGCACAGGAAACCCAAAGACTCTTGCAACAGGTATCAAAATACATACACACATTTGCAATGCACGGGGCTGCTGTCACAGCGCTCCCCAACCCCTTTCCTTGCAGCAAGGCAGTTGGGACGGAGCAAACACAAACGTCTAGTCGGCTCCCGTCGCTTCGGCACAAAGAACAGGTTCCACATTTATAAAGCGGGAGCCTTTGGATTACCTTGGAGAGGCAAACATTTAGCAGTCATTAACACACGCTGCTCAGTTCCCAGCTAGGGACGTAGAACAGACACGGTTAGAGCTCTAAACACTATTCAGCTCGATGGCCTAAAATTGTACTTTATTTTTGAAGTTTTGCTTTGGATTATTCCAATCCAACACTTGATGAACAAGAACCCTTTGCTCATACAAAGCACTATCGAACAGACGTACGTTATTCCAGTTATCCAACACTTCTTGTCTCTTATATTTGACACATACATTACATAAAAGTCATGAAGAAGTTCCATGGAAGAGCTAGTATTCCTTCAGAATATGAAGATACGAAGCAACATTTCTACCTCCACAAGCAAACCACCGTGTCTCCTGTGTCCACAATACATCGGTCTCTTCTCTACGGTGCCCGCTGCTTCGGAGAGCGGCGCCGACGCCTCCAGTTTGTCTTTCCCACCTCTCCTGCAGCAAACGTTAGCGAAACGCTCATGGCAAACGTTGGTGCCCATGGAGAGGAGCTGGTGAGCTGCAAATTGGGGGGGGTTGAGGGTTTTTCCCCCGCGGTGTGCGCATGGGTGCGGGTTTCCTGCTGGTGCGCACGCGAAGGGGAGCTGCTCTGCGGGCCGCCTATTGCTTGTGGTATTGCAGTGTCCGTCACAGTGCGAGCGCTCCAGCGGGTGCCGCTCGGCCCGGCCCGGCCCAGCAGCGCCGTCCCGAGCGGCGGGGCCGCCCAGAGCACCGGAGTGCCACCGAGAACCGCTGCAGCAAGCCCGGGGCCGTGGGGCGCTCGCCTGGCGCCCGTGCTCCAGAGCCCGGCGACGGCAACGAGCATCTCCTCCCGCACCGCTGCGTGCGGCCGGACAGCGGCTTTAGAAACAACACTGCTAGGCATGAAAGTATAAAGAAAATAAGGCATTACAAACGAGTCAAAGGAAGGTTACAGAGATCCTGCTCTTGACACGGATTCACATTGGCCATTCGCGACCCAACACAAACGAAACAACAACAAGGAGATATCCCTACCTAAAGGAAATGCCAGAGAGTTCTGCCTGAGCGAAAAATTACCAGTTTGTTTGAATTCTGTTTCCCCAAAAGTACGAGAGATTCCGTGGTGGTGGAGTCTGTCAGAACCTGAGAGCAAAGTTCGCTGGTCAAACTGGTGGGATCTTCCCAAGAGCTGCACGGGGCGAGACCCGGCCGGAGCCACGCACTTCCCGCAGAGCTGCGGCTACGGATCCGCTCTGGAAAAACCAACAATGGAAACGGCCTCCCCAAAATCCTTCCATTCCCTTTCTTTTGGTGTCCGCATTTTTTTCCATACGCTCTTAATTCAGGGCACAGAGAAGTTGGTCTTTTTAAGTCACTCACTTGGATATGCTTCTTTTGCAGAAAGGGGGTAGAGGGACACAGGAAGAACAAAACCCACGTAACATCCTTAAAATAAGTCAGGAAAGTATGTTCATGGAAAAGTTGTTCTTAATAATGCATTTTTTTTTTTTTTTTGCTTCTTTAATTACTAAGTGCCCATTATAATGGCATTACACTCACAAGGAAGCCAAGTGGGAGAACCCCACAAATTTAAAAGAAACTCACCTAAAAAAGAGGAAAATAGCTTATCTTTGCCTGAATTTATGTGACGAACACCTAAGACGTGCAACTATTTAAGTCCCTCAGAGCTTGGGAACTCCGGGCTAGCCAGAAGCTTCCTCTCCTGCGGGACTGCAAGATCTTCGTTCCTGCTTGCAGCGGCACATGCCTTTTAGAAATTAAATAATCGAGGAGTTGTTAGCGTTCTGCAAACTCTCCGTGGCTAGAAAAGAGTCCTGCGAGCGGCTGAAGCACCTGCTGCCTACCGTATAAACAGAGGTACGAAGAATCCCCTCCGAGGTCGGCAGCTCCCGGGCAGGGCAGGGTGGAGGCGGCCGCGGCCTCGGGGCCGCTCTGGCGGAGCGGGGCCCAGAGCAGCTCGCAGGGGTCACAGCCACCGAGCAAAGCATTCGCGGCCAGACCCCGGGCGAGGGTGCAAAACTTGAGAGCTTGGGTTGAAGCTTTGCAGGGCTCGTGCCGGGGGTTTTGCATGGGCAAAGCAAGGACGTGTGCGTTACTCAGGGCACTCCTGCAGGAGCACACTGGCTCGTTTGCAAAAGTCCAACTGGTTTTACATTCAGTCTCCCAAGAGCATACAGCACAGGACAGCCTGCGGGCTGAAAATTACACTGAAAACCAAGGCTGTTTTCAAACAAGGGAGGGCAAAAGAGGGAAAGACAGCTAGATTGTCCATAAGCAACAACTGGGCTCTTTCTTATGCTCCTCACCCCCAGGAGCACATTTGTATCTGCACGGACACGTATTACAGAGAACTCCATAAAATCTAAGTGTTGCAGAGTAAACTATTTGTCGTGACAAGTGTCGACTAGAGGAGGGGGCTGAGAGCTTGGGCCCTTGGGCAAGGATTGGGGAGCAAAAACCAAAAGCAGGGGATGTCCTAGAATTGAGACAGACCTTAAGCACAGTGGCACCAGTGGGCAACGAAATAATGCACAAGAAACAGGCATGTCCAAGCTCCACCTAGCTAGTGGCACCAAAACATGCAGTAGACTAAAATCTATTCTATTGTTTCCCTGTGATAAATGAAACACAGAATATATAAGTTACTACACCAGTATTCAAAACATGACACCGCTGAATGTGTTTCAGCGGCCAAACACTTGGACAAGGCATCAACTAGAAACCACGATCCAACTCATCACGCTGTGTTTGCCTCCTCAGCTTCACAGTGACCCGAGGGTGGACTTGCCAAGCGTGGCGTGTCCTGTTCTGCCTTACGAACGTCACTGATGTGGCTACGTGGGGCGAGGCTTAGTTCCCAATATCTCACTCCCAGGAAGCGTTCCTAGCAGGAAGCAGCAGTTCACAACTGACCTTCAGCAGAAGTTCAAAAATGAGTTAAATAAGGTTTTTGACTGTCTCTTCGATATAGTCTCTTCATCTGAAACAGCACAGCTATATCCACAGTGCAGCATCGAGTTCATCAGACAGTACAGGACTTGTCAGCAGGCTGCTGAGACGCTGAGGACGCAACACCCGGGCTCGTGGCGCTAGTTTTGGGGAAAACTGTAGGTTTTGGCCTCGTTGCTGGAGGCTTGACCTGCGTGGCCATTTTGACCGACTTCACTGGCCTGAAGGTGCACGGGATGTCGCCGGCGGTGCTGGCGCTGCGCTGGAAGGGGGGCTCAGTGTCCTTGAGGATCTGGGCGTGCAGGGGGCTGGAGGGCTCCGAGGTGGGAGCCACCACCGGGGAGGTTTTGAGCGGCTCCAGGGTGTCGAGGACGACGTCCGGCGTGTGCTTGACGCTGCTCTGCCGCTCCAGCTCCCGCAGCTCGTTCAGAGCAGAGTTCATGGTGGCCTCAATGTCCTGCAACAGCAAAGGAGAAACCAAGTGAGCCCCGGAATGGAGACCAAAAATAAGCGAGTAGGAGTTGGGCAGAGCGCTGGGTGTCTGCTGCTCGACCTGCAAATGCCAAAGCTCGATACAACTGGGAGATGAAAAACCTGTTTTCTTTAATGCTAATCTGGGCCTTTAGTGATGCCAAGCCTCTCAAGGGATGGGATTCTGGGATGGATTTCGGGGATGTGCCAATTCCAGCGCAACGCTATGAGCACAAAAACACGCAGCTTCAAAAGCATTAGCACTGCCATGGGTACAGGAGATCCCGGAGGAGCAGTTCTCCAAGGAAGGGAAACCAAGGCTGACTTTTGAGCACAGCCGATGGGCCAAACGCTCTTAAAGCTCCGAAATCGCTTGGGTTTTGCTGCTGCACGCGGACCCAGGGAGGGAAGAGCTTGGCGGCCCGACTCACGGCTCGGCTCCCGGAGCGGGAGGGGAAGGTGAAGCAGGCAGGGAATAGTGCAAAAAACGTCACAAATCTGACCCCTCCGGGGCTCTCTCCAGGCCAAGATTTTACTTATGAAATCAGGGAAAATATGGAAAGTGCACGACAGTTAGGAGGTGGCGTTTAAACTGGGGGGCAAGGGAAATATTAACATCTTCTTGTCCTTGTTTGGGCTTTTGAGACTACTCTCCAGTGAAAACTGGAGTTTATATTTTGCTAGGAAGAGGCAGCAGAGCAACTGATTTTTGTCAACCAAAGTATTGGAAGGACAATGAAACATGAAGATAAAAATACACTATAATTTCATTAGAGCATGTGGGCTAAAGAGATGCATCAGGGCAAAATTTTCCATTTCCAATTTTCCACTGGAATGTGAATCAAATTGTCACTTGTGCTTTATTTCTTACTTGATGTTGCTACCTCGTCAATGACAATGGTGTTTAATTTTCACATATTTTCCCCCAGCTTGAGAAAACTACAGACTTCCGAGCCAAGAAAGAGGCAAAGAAGTGACTGGGAGCTGCCTTTGCAACCCGAGAGCCAGGCACTCCTTGGCTTTACACAGACCCATGGCATACTGAGAACAGTTGGTAGAGGCAAGCATGCATGTGCACACACATCCATCCATCTGCAGAGGGAAGATCCTTCAGGGAGCAGGGCAATCTCTAACATTCGTATCATTAGGAGCTTCTCAAAATCTCCAGGCCTGACTTTTGTTTTTTATGCTACTTGTGAAACCACAGGTGTTTGGATGCAGAAAGCACCGGGTGAGTTTGGGTTGACACCAGTCGCTGCTTGTGGTCTCAGATGCAATGGGACAGAATGGATCTTTGCAGAGGGGCAGTCAAAAAGCACCAAGAATTTACAAGCAGCGAGTTTGTGCCAGGCTGTACGTGCTTTGCTATCCTGTCCTCATGACAGGGCACTTGTCTAAATAACTAACTCATCAAAACTGGGAGGATTAGGGTGCAAAGCTGGTTTCTAATCACCACTCGTGGATGCTGAGAGCCTGTGAAGATGGCACTGTGCACACCACTGGTCAGCTCGGGAGCTTCTTGCTTTGCTTGCATTGCTACATCTGCTTCCAATGCCTGACACAGGCCGATCTGCTAAACTGACAGGAAAAAATGTTAAACTGACACTAAATACCTCGCTTCTCTCATGTCTTGAAGTTTGTATTATTTATTTTTTTGCTGACAGCTTTGGAATCCATGTAATTTACTGTATGGAGCGATTTTATTGTTGGAACTACATTTGAATAATGAACAAGGCCAAGATTTTATGGAGCTAGGACCTGACTAATTAACTTCACTCATGAAGCAGTCGCAGTGACTTGCACAAAGGGAAGCTAAAAGATTAGACTCAAGCTGTGTAGTAAGTGAAGGCTGCAGGGCTGGAAGGAACAGCAAGGAAGTTATAAGATTAATTCAGACTTTGCATGAAGGCATTTCATTGTACCCAGTAGCCTTAAGTGTGCTCCAACAACCCTTTAAGGTAGAATTCTCCTTTTTTACCTGTGCAATAACTTCAGGGTCCATAGGCCGGTGGTTGTTGAAGCTCTTTGACCTTCCTGCCGTCACAGTTTTCCGGATCTGCGGGCTCTCTATCCTGTTCTTCAGCGACGAGTGTCGGCTGATAGAATTGAGGCTGCCGTGGCCACTGATGGAACATTTATCTGGAACCTCCTTGGGAAGACTTTGGCTCAAAATGGGCTGAGATGAGGGTCTGGAACCCGCTATGGCTCCTGGGGAGGCTGGTTCTGCCAGTGAACTACCTAGCCCGTGGCTGTCACTTTGACGAAAGGCTCTTCTGATGCTGCCTGACTCTGGTTTCTTTCTTTGCCTTCAGTCACAAAAGCAAAACAAGTCAATGCAAGCAGGAACACATGGATGGGCTGTAATTTGAAGATATCCCCCCAAGACAACACAGAAGACAATGGGAAGACACATACGGATACCCAGATTACAAAGGCACCCAGGATTTTAGGGAGTCATTGTGAAACAGTAAATCATTGCATTTTAACACTTCTAACAACAAGATTCGATTTCTGGCTGCTGTGCACATTCACAGCAAAACCAGAAAACTCGGATGGAAAGCAACAGAGTTGGTCATGAAGTAAAGGTTTTATATTTGAACAAAAAAAAGAAACCCTCTGTGCCGTCAGCAGGTTTTGATGATGTGTTTTTATTACATTAGAAGAGCAGAGCTACAATTTCTCGACTGGAGGACACAGTATAAGTCTACTAAGCTCCTGGCCCAAGGCATCAAGTTGTGATTTTCTGAGACTGGCAAGCCAAGAACCCCACAGATAGTCTGGGGTCAAGAACCATTTCCAGTATGTGCTGGTGGTAGGAGAGACATCTTTTCCAGTACTTTAGTAAGACCGTGAGGCATTATCTATATAGGGCTACGGATATACCAAAAGATGATGTCAAATGGATGAGCTGGTCCAAACAATTTACTTTCTACCCCAGCAGCATGTGGTCTGACAGCATGATTCCGTTCAAATTATATAAAGGCCACGTAGCAAGAATATTTTATGCCATAGGTCTGAAGCTTGGCATCCATTATACAGGGAAGGATCCATTTATATATAGCACCAGCCCCAGGAATAACTGCAAGAAAGTGTTAACTCCAGTAGGACTTTGGCATCCAAATAATAATTCAGTGGGTGGCACAACTGTCATTGCGAAACCATCTGATTTAATTTTGCTCAAGTCTGTTCACACATAGGTCAGAAGATTCATTCCTAAAGAAAAAACAACAAAATGAGTCTTATGCTACTATTGCTAAATATCAGCTTCCCTAGTAAAGGGAAAAAATATGGAGTGGACATTACCCAGGCTTTCTACAGACACTACATACAACACTAGCAAGCAGCAGATGGTGAGGCTCCAGCACAGGTCTGTTCATTACACAATTTCTTCCATAACTGACAGAAGGACATACTTGAATGGCTCATACAATAAATATCATAAAGGAAAGATGAGATCCCAAACTGCTCTGTGCTGTTCCGCTGCTGTGCGTATCAGCAGAGCTCTGCTGACTCCCACAGCCTGAGGTCAGGCTCTGTGCAGGACACTAGCTCTTCCAGACCTTTCAAAAAGAAATGCATCTCTATTACTAACTAGAGTCTGTTAAGTTAACTGAAAGTTAAAAAATGTCCACTTCTATAAAGCTAATTAATATCTTCAGGGCACAAAGTGACCGAAATAATCAGAAAGATCTGGGGGAGAGTCTGCTCTAAAATAAAAGATCAAGACATTCTGTCTCTTGCTAGCTTAATTTTCCTGATTCATTTTAAATCAAGCTGACTGTTGGCTAAGGGAACAATTCCTCATTCAGCAGGTGAAGTTAAGAGAACGGGGAGCTGTGCTGTTTCACTGCAAGCATATGGTTAGTAACCTGCGTAAGGGGAGAGGTGCTGGAGACATGAAGAAGTGTTAAAGGCAAGATCGGATGGTGGGATTCACAGAATAATGGCAGTTAACACACAATGTGATGCTAATTGCTGAAGTCTGGCCCATAGAACAAACCACGTTAAATGTAAATGAGACAGAACAGGTCACAGGAACATAATAAGGAATGGGAACAAATGATTACAAGGACTCATTCCACAATATCCCTCTTTCTCGGTATGTTTATCTTACCAAAAAGGATGTGTTTGGGAAAATGGGGACAGATGGCACCTTAGGGACACAGAGGAGAAGCCAGGGGGATTTTAAACGACCACAGGCCACGTTGGTGAGAGAGAGGGAGGAAAGCACACTGCAAGCAAGTTAGAAGAGGTGGAAGCAAAGAGAAATGGTGGCAGTGCTCATTTGTTAACCTCTCTCGGGAAAGGAAATACTTTACTGGACTCGTCACCAAGATCTTTATAATTAAGTCAAATAATGCAAGGCTGTTCTTACTTGTTGATGTTTGCAAGGTAAATATCTGCGACGTGACCCCCACTTGGACAACCGGCACCAGCTCTGGCTGTCACTTTTTCTTCTGGTGGCTCAGAATTTATTTCTATTTCAGACTTCGGGCTGGATCTTTCTGAGATGCCATCCTCACTAGGAAGGAGAAGGAAGAGATTCACAACCAAAACAGTACCAACAGCACCGACTTTTGCATACAGCAGCACGTACGCACACACAGCTACTGTGCTAAAGGTCTTTTTCTTAAGAATCATTATATATCTGTCAAATCCAAGTGTCTGATCTCTACAAGCAACATGGGAGGTTGCAGCTCTGCATCTTTATCAGGCTGGCAGCACCAGGACTACTTTGGCATTGCAAAGAGGCTGAAACTTAACTTTTATGGATGTGGATGCCCGAGCTTTAGTGCAGCTCTGCTTTTCTTTTTCATGGGATTCCCTTCTCAAAGGGAGGATCACGGATGCAGAAGGCGCCTGCATGGCCTCAACATCCCAACAGGAATGCTCCATTCCACACCTGATTTTTAAGCAATCCCCTGTGCTGATGGACTCAAAACCGTAACGTACGTGTCTTGAACGACGATGTACTGATGGGGAATGAGGCCGTCGATGCCGTTGTGGCGTCCCTCCCACCAGTCGTCGGAGGCCCGCTGGTAGAGCAAGAGAGAAGCTCCCTTCTTGAAGGACAGCTCCCGGGCGGTCCTGCCCACGTAGTCGAACTTGGCTATCGCTTCTATGGGCTCGCACTCTGGAGACAGAAGGGGATAAACAGCAGTTCACTAACCACCGGGCTTGGGAGAGCAGGCGACAGTTCAAACCCACCACAACGGCGGGAAGCTGGAAAAGTCCGCGTGAAAATCGCAGGGATCACGGTAAGACTTTCAAATCCTGTCGCTAGTTGGGTCTAAATGCGCACTAAGCCAGTTCCCAACGCGAGGCTGGAAGCAGGGCTGGAGATGAGCTCAGCCACACGGCCCCGCTGGGCTCCGCTGGCTAATTACTCTAAAGGAGCTTTCCAACACAGCGGAGCGCTCCATGGAAACCGCTCTTCCTCGGGGAGCAGTCTTGGGTTTCTGTTCCTTGACAAGGCAAGACGCCCCATTTTGTTCTTAGATCTGCGTCAGCATTACGGGAGGCTCCTGGGGATAAGCGCCATCCTGAAGGCCCTTGGAGGCTGAGCACGAGCCATGGCGTTGAGTCGTTCTTGGGGAGAATGATTCCCGAGCTCTCCCCAGGGTGCCCCTTGGCTGGCAAGGCACTGGCTGAGCTTGTGCAAACGCCTGGGGCGAATCCCTCCGGAGGGCACCAGCACAAGCTAATCACAGCACTATTGCCACCCAAGGGCCACATGAGCACGGTGCATGAGCTCACCTGCTGCTGAGGCCCATCAGCCTCAGCATCTGCCCAACTACCCCCCGCAGCCACTTCCTCTATCACCACATCACGTAATTCCATCAAATCCAACATTTCTCGTAAGTCCACGGTCCAGGTGAATGGAGGCGGCAGCTCCCAATGTCCAGCATAGGCAAGGTGGGAAAAGTGTGGCCTGGGTTTCCACCTCATCATCGCTGCCTCGCTTCGGACTGCCCAGAGCTCCTGGCTAGCCAGTTCTGGCTCCTGGTTCCCTAGTTTCCTCTGTCGTATTTTGTTTTCGGAGCAAATTTCATCATAATATTAAAAAACTACAATGCTCTTTTCTGGGATTCCCCCTTTATTTATGAGGGAGAAGGGATAAGGATTTTGAATGTCTCATCTGTTTCATTAAAAAGTGTTTATTATTCCAAATAAGTGGTGCACTCAGGTTTCCTATGTTTCTAATTTGACTTTTAGGACTCTGGCCTTCATCCAGAGAAGTGATTTTAGACTCTCATTTCCAGTAGCTTTTTCCTACTACACTCCTGATCACAGAAGCAAGCTCAGAGCAGCAGGCCAGAGCCAAGCTGCTCTCCTGCCAGTCTGGGAATGGGGGCAGGAAAGCAGCAGCCCAAGCCCTTTCCACTCGCGCACGTGATTTAACGGGCGTCCCACATTCCTGTCTTGCAGCGTTACCAACTGCTCGTGCCTGTCTCAAAACTGCCTGTTCAACCACTCGTGCCGAGCTCGGGAGCGAGCAGCACAGATGCTCTGCAGAGAACAAGCTACCCCAAAGGCCGGGGCTGATTCCTCCACCCTCTGCTCCATGAAGAGGGGGCCACAGCCAGCAAGGTGGCTTTGAGTCCATCAGATAAGTTACACACCAGATGTGTTTGTCTTGATAGCCAAAACTCAACTTGGAATCAGCAATGGAGCTGGAAAAAATGCTCTTTAGTAGTTTTGTTGTATTTTCTGCAATGCAGCTTGTTCTCTGACTGTTCAAACCCTACTCATGCACAGCATCCGCGCTTCCCTGGTCACATCCAAGGAGTGCAGGAATGAAAAAAACCCTAAAGATTTCACTCCTAAATCGTGAGAGAGGCCCCGAGTGGCAGGAAGGTGTGTGCAGCACTTCTGATGAGCGAGTCCAAGGCACAACTGCAAAAAGCCATCACGAGTGTGCGAGGCTCCCGTTCACAAAACCTTGCTGCACTCTCAGAAGAGATAGAGGCCCAGCTCTCTCCTTGGGTTCCGTGCCAAACGCTCCCTATTTCACATGGAATATTCTGTGTAGGTTGCAGGACTCCATCCAAAACGCCTACAGACGTTACCTTGCTCAGGGGCCCCACGCCATCAGTTCCAGGGGCTGTAAAGCAGTGTCTTTAGGGTCTCACTGCTCCTTTTCCCATCTCCGTGCCCTATGCAAGCTCTTCAGAAACCCCGGCCTGGCACGAGTAACCCGGGGCTGTTAGGCCTGCTCTGCCCTAAAGCCCGGCTCGCAGCAGACAGCAAACCTTCATTTCATTTTGTCTGATCCCTTGAAACAGGACGGTGGGAGGCTGAGGCGCTGCTCTCGTGCCAAGGCTGCTGCAGGGGGGATGCCTGGCACAGCGGCGAGCGGCCGGGCTCGCCGAGACGCCGCCAGCCCCCGGCTCCACGCTGAGCTCATGGTTTCCAGCGCCGAGATCCCGCTCCGGCGCGGATGAGCTCAGCCTGCCGAGCGCCCAGGCGGGCTGCACCGCACCGAGCTCCCGTTGGAAAAACGGGAGGCTTCAAAAATAGACAGGCAACTGCTAAAAATCCCTGTGCAGTCCGTACCTTGTACTTCTTGGCATCAAATGCTGCCTGTGGCATTTCAAGCGACTGCTGTGACTTAAATTTTGCAGTTAACTTTGGATTTCAAGCACGAAGCACTTTGCTCCCACCCCTGCCACGAGTAGCTTCCCTAACGAAGGGATAAGAGGCTCTGCGTTACCGTCATCGCTGGTGTGGTGCTCAGCTGTGACGTCCTGAACAGAGTCTTCCGTGGAGGCCCTCTCCCCATGGGGACTTTCACTGCAACAGAAGGAAGAACAGGTTAAAATTGTTTGAAAAATGCTTTAAACTCGTTGGAATTGAATCTCCTCAGTCACAAAGGGCAGAGGTAGCCTGGAGACGAACACCCACATGGGATGTCCCCAGTCCCTGCATGGATGCACTTGCAGGCGTGCAAATCAGGGCACTTAAAAATGAAGTTAAGCCCTTCCCTGCCAGCAGGGCTGCAGATGCAGAGTTGGGAGCAGCCTTGCTCATCCTCCTCCTCCTCAGGTGGCTGCCTTTCCGCTAGCGGGCGCCCGGAGCGAGCCCGGAGCTAGAGCTGCTCGACAGCGAGCAGCAAAACAAGGCTCCCTCTGTCACCGGGGAGGCTCCACTGCTAAAACATATTTATTTTAATACAGGAAAATAACCATTTGCATTCCAGGGACCGGGGAAGGGGGCGGGGGAAAGAGGAGGACACGCTTCAACATTCCTCATCTTCAGTGGGAGGGATCAGTTTGGCCAGTAGAAAAGAAAACACCTCCTTTCCTTCCCCCACTCCCAACCTTCCACCCCAGATGACAGGAGCCGCCGGGGCTGAATTGCTTCCAGATGTTGCTCGGAGGCTGCGCACGCGGCCAGGCCCCTGGAGCTTTAAGCTGGATGGAAATGGTGATTTCGCATTCCTCCCTCCCCCATCAGAGCTGCCCTGAAAGCTAAACCCAGCGCAGCTTTCTAGGTTCAGCTGCAAGTGACCCCACCTCTGAGGCAGTCACTCCAGGCGGGCAGGAGAATGTCACCGGGAGAGAGAAAGGGCGAAAACAACAGTCAGATGGAAGCATTAGCAGTAATTGGTGCAGCAGCTTGGCTTTCACAAGGAAATGGTAGTAGCTACCATAGCAGAAAATGCAAAAAAAACTCTGTAAAGCCTTCTCCTTCAAGACAGGGGAGCACTTTCGTTAGTGGTGGGTCTCCAGAGATACCAAAGGCATCTTCTCTTTCCCAATACAGACTGTATGTGTCTGAATCAAGCCCCGGACATCACAGAAGGGCTATGACTACGGCACACTAATCAGAGCCTCAACACGCATCCTTTTTTTGCTATCATACCAGTAATCCTCAGTGCTTCCACCTCTGCTATAGACCGGACCCTCCAGCTCCCTTGGTCCTGGGAAGATGTTCTCGTGTTGGATGATGATGGTTTTGATCAACTCATTGACATGAGCCTGGCAAGACACTTGATCGTGACCTTCAGGCACGGACATCAACGTTGGCCCGAAGCAGATGGCCAGATTGTAGGGATCCATCATATTCTCTTCACTAAACTGAGATAAACTGCAAAAGACAGGAGTGAAGAGGAGAGTGAGACAGAGAACAGTAACCTATTTATAGCAGAAACCTCAAATTATAGCACAATTTTTGCAGCATTAAATCCCTCACAAGGAAAAGGATGAGACAACCATCTTCACGCTGCCAAAATCTGATTAACAAAAAGGAATTTTGTGCAGTTTTCTCTCAAGTTCAGATCCAAAATATGTGAAGCTGATTGTATCTTTATCACAGCCTCCACTAATCATGAGAAAAACAATTTATGTAGGAATAATATCTAGTCGTTAATGGCCAGTCTTGATTTCTTATTAGCTTATTTTAAACATGCAATTTTTGATAGGTTAAGTGATGATTACAAGTTGGAAAATACTATTCTAAATTTATTCTCACCTAGTGCTTGAAGGTGCCCAGACCTGGAAGTTTGCCTGACAGATTGAAGAGAACTTGCCACTGCTGAAATTCAGGGTATATTGATATCAGCTTTGCTCAAATCCCTGTTTATAGTTTAACCTTCCTCCATAGGTTTAAAATCCTCCCTAATGCAGACACTCCTTTCCCTTTGTTCTTGCTGTAAGATGACCAATATGAAGAATAGGAGCATCACGTTTCCACTCAACACCACCAACCTCAACGGCGAGCAAGGCGTGTTTAAATCCTGCTATGCTTCTGGCTAGGATGTTTCTCCTTTGTGCTGTCCTCAGGTGTCAAGACTACAGTACTGGAAGAAGCTATTGACCTCTTGCTGTCAAACTGCCTGATGAATCAGCCAGATGTAGCGGAGTGTTTAAAAATACAATAATCTCACTCTGCAGCACTCTCACCACTTAGTATACACGACCCCTTGCTGGTGTGGGACCCCACTTCCAATTCCCTTGTATCATTTTTTGCCCGAATTCCCAGCAAATTATGCATGTTCATTGCTGGAGGCTCAGAAAGCCAGCAAAACAGATGCAAGAATAGGCTGCAGTGACACCTGCACCTCGGTCTGCTGGGGCTCCCATCTCGTGCAGCAACGTTCAGGCTGGTTCTGCCATTCAGCTCACACCAAGCACTAAAGCAGGCCACAGGGCTCCTGCAGATACTCACTGATTGAGGAATGCAAAGAGGTATCTCATTACAATCAGAGTGGTCTTGGGCAAGTTCAGCAGGACCTTCCGGATGTGCAGCGCTCTCTCTTGCAAATTATCCATTGCTGGAAGGCAGGAAGAGCGCCGGCGTTACTAGACCATCATAGCCACATTTTGCCACCCAGCCCGAGTACAACCATCCACTGCGATGTGCAAGCCATCAGAGAGGGAAGGCAGCACAAGGAAGGAAGGGTCTGCCCCTTTCCTGGACGCCTGGCTGTCCCGACGTGGGAACGCGCGGGCTGTGGAGCCCTCCACAATGAAGGCTCTTAACACATGAACCTTTGCTGCGAGCTCCTTCCTAGCGTGGGAGCCCTGCATGTCATCTGCTTCAATCGCTCCCACACAATGGCTTATTCAAGTTAGCTCAGAAAGGTGGGTGTTTAAAGCAAAAAATATTTAAGACTCAAAGGCAGATTAGCATAGTTAAAGGGTGAGGCAAAAAGCTCTGTGTGCAGCAGCCTACTGAGAAATAAGTGGGCAGCATAAATCATCTCAGAAGAGCAAAGTCATTTGGAAGCAGATTTTCCTTTTCATATAATGTGAATTCAAGTCTGCAAATGCATTTATCAGGAGAAGAAAACCACAAATCATATTAGAAGCAGTTATCTTCTGCGTGGCTTCAAGGGCTGCCCCTGCGAGGGACAGGGGAGCTGTTCTCTGACTCAGAGCGATGCGGCGACAGTCGGGCCAGTTCAGCAGGGGCTGTCCAAGTACAAACACCAAAACACCCCCCCCCGCCCCAAAACCATTCTCAAAAACAAAGATTTTAACAACTGGACCGTGATCAGCCTCGTGTTCAAGCACCCTGTAACAACAGTCAATAAAGGGGCTCTCATGCTCACGGAGTTAAAAGGCAAATAATTGCCACCTTGCTGGTCTAACAGAGCATGCAAAAGGACGGCTGTAGATGTGCAGGCAGCAGAATTATGAACACGAGGGATAGCACATGGGGCAGCAAAACCCTGCTGGAGGTGCAGGCTTTGTGAAGGCATTTCTGGAATCTCTGAACAGAGGTTTTAAGATTATTTTTCAGATGGGAAAGTCTTCTGTTTTATTCCTTAAGCACAGAATGCTGTCACGAAGCGCTGTCTCAGAAAAATACCTGCTACAGCTCTTGCACAGTGCAGCCCAAAGCCAAATAGAGTGAGGACCGCAGGCTGTTCCCCATAAAGATAAGGGCAGGGGGAGACAGGTGGAAGATAAGGTTAAAAAAATTCATTCCAATTCCTTTCCAGATCTTTGTATACTTACTGACACAGGCAATCAGATCATGAAAGATCTCCTTAGGGAAGAGCGGGTGCTCCAGTCCTCGAAAATAGAGCTTCAAGACACCTGCTATTGAATCCATGTCATGGTCATTCTGGTCCCCTGCCAATGGATCCTCCCCTAAGGTACAAGTAGAAGGGAAAAAAAAGACAGCTCAGAAAAAACCAAAATGCTGGAGAAAAGAATCAAGCTGGAAGGTTGCAACTCAGCTGCAGGAAAGGATTTAAGCAGCACAAAGTCAATGCCAGCTAATTCAATGACACTAAAAGCAACACGGGCAGGAGAGCGAATTCCCTGCCCTGTGCATTGCTCTGAGCTCGACTCAGGTAGGGGCTGCATTTGGGAGCCACCACTGAGCGGAACGTAGCACAAGGCTGGGAATCTGGGCAAAATTCTCACCTGAAGCCTGGCTTGGACTCCGTGCTTACACAACAGGGCAACGAGCATGAGGCAGGCAGCTCATGCTGAATTATACTGAAGGGGAGGGGGGAAAAAAAGAGGAAAAAAAAGGGTTCTGGAACACTACAATCTGTCATTCTAGATGTGTCGCAGTTTGTCTATGTTATAAAAGAAAAGATGCCCGCTTAAGGAGTTGTTCCCTATGGAAAACTCCCTATCGGATATAATTAGATTTAATGATGGGGCAAACCTCAGACTGAAGCTATATATATCCATTATGTGACTGAAATTACCAAAGCTTGCCTATTATCTTAATAACACGCAGAATAATAAATGGGCCACTACAAACCAGCGCATTATCTATGATATTAACTGCCACCAAGGGTTCTGGGTGAAGTAATAAACTGCAGGGAGATGATTTGTCAGTTCTGTATATCATGTGCTTTATAGAGATAGGCGAGACGCAGCTTTAAAAAACAGAACTTTTTTCCTGCATGTTAATGCCGAAACAATGGCTGTTCTCTCAGGATGTCTGGTACTGTCATTTATTTTTTTAAAAGGACCTTTGAGGTTGATACTAGGGCTTTCGACCTGCAGCTTGTCATGCACATTCCCACTTGATCTGTTCTCGAGAAGATACGTCAAGAACAGTAGCTTGAAGTTTCTGCTCTTGGTCAGAGCTCAGTTTCAAGAGCATTAGATGCACGGAGCTGGTCCTCTAGCACGTGGCTCTGCGCACAGAGAGCTGCAGGGAACAGGGACGGGGCAGTCCTGGCCAGCAGGGCAACTCTCTGCACCCTTTGGTGCTGCAAACAGCCCTTAAGCTGTGGGACATGAGAGAGGACTGAATTCAGCATGTTTATTAAACAGACAAGGCATAAAGCCTAATGCCTTGAATATTCAATATTAATGAAGGCTACAGAAGTGCCTGGCGAGAGTCTCTTAAGAAGCTTGAAAAAAATTAAAAGAGGATACAGGAAACACACTTAAGCTATTTTGGAACAGCTGCTTTAACAAATGAATACATTTGGCAAGGTATTAATTGGATATACTGGAACAGATCCTTCTTACCTCTCTCAAATGCATTTTTTATATCGTTCACTTCAACTTGTGACCCAGACACTCTGAATATTCCTTCATGCTGCAGCCCTGTAAGACAATAAAGGGCATTGGTACAAACTGACATAAGCTAAGCTGGGACCTTCATCAACTACAGCACGATGAAGGAAACACAAGCAACACAGGCAAAGTATCTTCTTTTCAAAGCCATTTTCTCTTAAACATCCAGGCACAGGCAGATCATGGAAAGAGAGAACTCTGGCACCCCTGAGGAGAAGTATTAACCCTTCCTAGGATGCAACAGAACAACTTGGTTATAACTTCCATGCATTTTATCTTTCACCCTGGGGCATCTTCCAACCCAGGGCAAGTCATAAACTAATGGCATACCAGCCAGAAGTAATATATGGCTAACTATACAGTAAAACAGCTCATTTTTAAAGAGCAATACTGGAAAGGCCCAGAGCAAATCAGGCAATTGGAATGAAGCATTTAATTACCCTAAAATGCCTTGATATTTAGGATTCTAGAATAGCCTTTAAGACATTCCTGGGAAACAGCATGCATAAACAAAATCATTTATGTCATTTATCTAGTAGGTGAGATTATTTTAATTAATGGTCATTGCCATTTTATTGGTACATGAAGGACGAGCAAAATTTTCAACCCGGGTTCCAAGCGCTCTTCACGCAGGGAAGCCAAGACGACTCGACCAGAGCCCAGGTCCGTATCACTCGCGGAGGCCACTGCAGAGCAGCCCTGCCCAGGCCTCTCCACCTCTGCTCATGGGACACTAATAATCCAGGATATGATTTTTTGGTTTAGAAACTCACCGTGTCGGCTAATGAACCGTATGCAGCTCTCCACTACCAGCGGAATGGCTTGGTTGGAGTCCTGAGAAGAATTAAACAAACAACAGTCAAAACGCAGAGCCGAGGTCAAAGCCAGTGATGAGCATTTCTCTGCAGTGAACATGCCCACGTTTCTGTTTACATACAGCACGTCCTCCAGCAGCTTTGGGCAACAACTAAACTACACCCCAGTGCCCGTTCGCTGGGAGGCCGCCACGTCGCACCCGCCTCGGCCCTTGCTCTCGTGAAGGGCCTCCGCTCAAAACCACCAAATCCAGCCCATCGTGTCCCTGGCTTGTTTAGGTTTGATCCTTTCTTGTTTTAATGAAATGCCACAGAATTTGATCACAAAGTCACTATTAATAATTCCGCTCCTAATTAGCCACGGTCGGCGCTGAACTCGTTTCCTGCGTGCGCTCGAGCTCGGCACCAACCAATTAAGAGCCCTTGAGAAGCCAGGGAGCTCAACGGGCCCCCAAGGATCTGCTTTATTAATAAGCATCCGAACAGCATCATAAAGAGCCCAGGCTCATTCTCGAGTTTGACAAGGAGAATTCATGGAGGAGCACACGCTCTGGGTCCCCAGCAGAGATTAAAAATCTCGGAGCAGTTATGTTTTAAATGCTTAGGTCACACTCAAAAAAACCCCATTACTACCCCAGGCAAGTGGTTTCACGCAGGCTCCGGGGAGCTGCGGAGAGATCCAGGTGTTGCAAACAGATTAGGTTTTAATTCAGGTTTCCAAATCACAGAGACTAGTGACGTGTCAGCTCCACTCAAGTCAGAAGGTGCTTGAGAGACCCCTCCAAAGCTGCTCGGGAACCTGGCAATCAAAACGCACGTCTCCGTTTTTGCATAAGGAGGGGATGTTTCTGGAGCATAAATAGAGCAACGATAACTGAACTCAGAAATTCAGCTCTGCATACGATAGGAAATGCAAGTTTTCTACATCTCTGGCTGGATAACAACCAGTTATCAGTGTCAAAGGGAGAAAACCCTACAAATCACCCTCAGACACTTCCCTCCTCCCTCCCTGCATTAGCCGAGGTCCAGCCTGCAGCCTCCGGACCGCAAGAGGCGGCAGAATCCCCCGGAGGCAGCTGAAAACATCCCAAACATCCATTACGTTTTATGTGCAACGTATATTTATTGCTCCAGACGCAGGCAGGCCCAAGCGTTTCTGCCTGCCAATGCAAATGGCAGCAAAGCTGTGAAGCACACGGGCAGCGTTCCCTGCAGCCACATGCAATAGTTTATCTTGCAGCAACAGTGACTGCAGGGTGGAAAACAACTTACTCTCTTACTACTGCTTATTTTATTATTATTGCTTCCTATTTCCAGCACACACAGCTCCGGAAAAGGACAAAGCAGAAACCAAGGAGACTGTATGAAATGAAACTCTAAGCTACACTTGTTCTTTACAATATGCAAAAGACATTTAATTTTGCTTCTCCTCCAACTGAAAGGGACATACTTGAGCTCATTAGCTCGTTAGAAGGCAACAGATCATCGACGATGGCCAGGGAAGCAGGGGGAATAAAGCATGGCTGGTGTGAGCTTTTATTACAGGAAGGCAGAGCAAGCAGTTACAAGTTTAAGAGCATTCCAAAGGCACACAGGCCAAAAGAAGGGGACAGGAGACAGTGACATACAGCAGCACGAAGCCCCTAAACCCTGCCTGGCAAGCTGAGAACTTGCAGTGTTATTACACATGCCACGAGGAGCACCAGGGAGGCAAAGCAGTCCCATATATTCACCCACATAAACACCAGGGCAAAAGGAAGGAATAAATTTACTTGGAGCAGGAAAGAGCCTCTAGCAAGAGCCCTGTGCATGTGCCTTGTTGTGCGCAGCGCCCGAGAGCGATGCTCCACGGCAGGGCAGCAGCTTAAACACGAATGGAAATGCCCACATAAGAGCAAGGGGCACAGAAGCACTTTGCTGCTTTCCAGCCCTCTAGAACACACACACATTTTATCACCCAAGGAAAAGTTTATTACCTGCTTCCTTATAGTGGAGCTGCGCCTGCCACTGAGGAGATGATCCAAGCCACCCGTTGCAGTAGGAGGGAAAAGAAAACAGGAGAGACAAGTCAAGATAACCCTCTATCACCACCGAGCTTCTCATCTGATATCCCAGACTCTGCCGTTTTTGGAGGAGGGAAGAAGTCAGCTGAGTCAATCATAACGCCTTAGTCTCGTTCAATTTATGGAACTTCAGAAAAATTTTAAGTGCCTTTAAATCACTGAAATCCTGAAAAAGGCACGAGGAAGCGTATGGCTTTGACAAAAGACTATCCTTGACATTTCGATTCCAGCCATATGGAAATCTATTATACGAGGCTCCTCGTTCAAGAGGAAGTTTTGTTATAAATTGCAGGTAGCACCTCTCCCAAGGAGGCGTTTTGCAGAGGGAGAAGCACGTGGGAACGTACTGGTTTCCCACTGTGCTGGTGACAGCTGTCATTGTGGATTCTTTATTATAGTTTCTGATAGAAAATAAAATAAAATAAAATAAAATAAAATAAAATAAAATAAAATAAAATAAAATAAAATAAAATAAAATAAAATAAAATAAAATAAAATAAAATNATAAAATAAAATAAAATAAAATAAAATAAAATAAAATAAAATAAAATAAAATAAAATAAAATAAAATAAAATAAAATAAAATAAAATAAAATAAATGCAACAAACCAGAGCACCACCAGGCACTAGCCAGATGGGGCCTTTCCAGCTTGAACCATGATTATAGGTGATCTCATTTAGAATCGTGGTAGATGTTAATTGTAGTAAAAAGGGAAAGTCTTCCTTTGCCAGGACTTTCTCCTCAAATTTATCACTGAGGTTTCAAATTCCTATAGTTCCTGCTAAACACAAAGCAGGAGAGAGAATGGCAGAAAGGTCTAATGTATCATTGAAGCCAATTCCCTGCTAGGGCAGATGGCTGCTGAATTATAAATAAGGTGATTAGAACTGTGATTTTTAAAAAGACAGTACAATGTGTTAATTCAGCAGAAAATCCTGTTAGAAAAAGCAAAAACAACAAATTAGAAATTAAAAAAAGTAGGAAATCTGATTCTGTGGGCTGTCACAGGTAATAAGGTTACTTTAAACCATTAGCAGCAATGATTCTTTGATATTTAAAGTTCTTTCATGATGAATAATATTTGATTATTACAGATGTCAGGCTCTAATTAGGGCCTGTCAGACATGCTTTGCTGCAAGGAGGGTGAAAAGGAGGAATGATGCCGATGAGCAGCAATCACCTGCCTTTTGTTAGAACGGCAGGATGAGGCACATCCTCGCTCCAGCTCCTCGTCCCCCCTGGATCCATCTATTTGGAGAGGGAGACTCTTTGTGTTTAATAAAAACACTATCAAAATAAGCTTACTTCCGACGCTGCGAGATTGGTCCTAATTATAAATGGAAATTTAATTCTCCACGGCCTCTGGATTGCTGCAACCCAGCTCAGCATCAGAGCAAGACACTAAGGAACGGAGCTAGTTTAACAGCAGGGGGGGCAAAAAAGAAACCACACGAGACACCCAAATGCCTTTTTCTTTCCTTAGTTATTTTCACCCCAAATCTATGTCCCAATCTGTTTCCAGACCAACCTGGGCACGGCCAGAGCTTAGGGGCACACGGGTGCCAGCAAAAAATGCAGGGCTGGAGCAGGCACCACACCAAAGAAAACACCTTTCCTCGGGTGACCGGAGTCTGGCTGATTTATGAGTATCACCTTGCACTGGTGCAGATAATAGCAGTGATATTTAATGCCAGATTAACTAGCAGGAATTTGCTTCCGTATTAGCCAAGCGAATGTCCTTTTCTAATGGGCGTGTATGGGCTGGCATCTGATCCTGCTCAGCAGTGACCAATTTGTGGCAGTCTTTCCTTAAAACATGGATTCTTTGAGATGCACGTACCTGGCAAGGGAGCAGTCAGTCCTCTGACCTGTTGGGAAGACAGAGAAATACTGCATTAGGATGGGAAAATACACTTGAGTGAGGCATAAATCCTGCTTTAGGAAGGGTGGGACAAGCCGCGAGGAAGAGGAGCAGCCGGAGGGCTGCATCATTCCCATTCGGAGCGCGGGTGCCCATCGGGAAGCACCAGGAGCAGCCCGGGCTGCAGGAAGACTCTTTCTTTGGATAAAGTATTGTTTTTGAAAATTGGTTCCCTGCACAGTGTAATTGTTGACTTGCGCTGCCAAAAACCCAGGCTTGTCAACCCCTCCCGCCCTCCTCCTCCCCAGCGGGATTAGTAGGGAGATAGATGATACTTTAGAAAGCCATTCAGCAACACTGGAAACATGCAGAGATTTGTTAGCCCACAGCCTGACCGTGCTAGCATTAAGCTATTTGGGGCGAGAGGGGTTTAATGATATTTTCCACAAACATTTGCAAGAGCGACCATTAACGTGTCCCGACTTCGCAAGGCAGCGGCCAAGCCAGCGACTGCCATTAACACAAGCAGCATTTTTGGAAGCAGCACAACAAGGAAATAAGCAGGACAGAAAACTGGGAATGCTACAGGCCAGATCTTTTGCTGGAACAGATCATTAGCAGCGAAACCCTAGTGATTTACACCAGCTGAAACCCACCCTCCCTGCAGTGTCTTCCTGCTCCCGGGGAGATGCGAGAATGAAGCAGGGAAGTGTCTAATTGCTGATGGCTGAGAATTAGTTGAACACATCTTGAGAGGCGCGTTCCTCTCCCCACGTAGGGCCAAACAGTGCATGATTTGCATGAAAATGTTATTCCAAGGCAGAATTTCCAACCATCTGCCTCACCTCCATCATGGAATATTCATATATATAAATTACACGACTGTGGCAAGATCAAGGGGCTCCTATATTACAGTGACAAATACGTACAGTAGGCAGGGACATAATTGCCCATAGATAGGAAGACTTGCTGTTATTTTCATTACTGGAAATCGGCCTCTTTAGATTAAGGTAATTTGCAAGAGGGCTAATAAATGCCACCTACAGAAAGAGCAAAGAATAAAAACCTGAGGTTTCCAGGGCCTGAACATAGGCAGCTGTATGCATCTTTTTCAATTAAGCTTCCAAAAACATTTCTGTGACCTGTGAAAGGATTTTTATTTGCCCATATCCCACTTAAGTGCCATTTTACAAATGGGCCTAGAAGTGGACCCAGTTTTGTACCATTAATTTAACTTAGTTTCGGGGAGACAAAACATTCCTCACGCCCTCAGCTCCCTGATGACAGGGGTGATTTTTTTTTTTTTTTTTTTTTTTTTCAATTTTTTTGGAGCTTACCCTGGCACTCACTGGATCCCTTCACGAGAAGGGCTGAGAAGGCTCTGGTATTGCAAGGCAACCACAAAAAAAGAAAAAAATAAATAAAAGAAAATAAAAAGCCTTTACATCTGCATAGCAATACAGAAATTGCATTAAATTCCCTTCTCTTTTGCCCCACCACAGCTTGAGATCGGCTCAAAGGGCAGGCAGGTTAAGAGGAAATAGGTCGTGGTATGCAGAGGTCAGCTATGACCCGGGAACGTGATTAGTCAGAGGGGCAGCACGGGTGTCATTTGGAGATATTTAAAGGCAGAAGTACCCTAAGGGTTCGGCTCTCTGCCTTCACCCCCCCTTGTTACAGGGCAGCCCGAAAGAGAGCTAACTTTAAATACTAAAGATTGGGTCAAACTGCTTTTCTTACCTTCTAGCGCCTGGGGCCCGATAAACGTGCAACTCAATTACCGCAGCAATAACTATTTTATTTTTATAATACTTTTTGAACCTGGAAGCAAAGCACTTCAAAGACCGCATGCTGCTCGAGTTTTCATTCAGAAAACACCATAAACTGTGGGGAGTCCAGTCGAGTTACTAAAGGAAGAAAAAAGGAGCCCTGCTGCAGGACGCAAAGCCAGGAAGGAGTCGAGCCGTTGTCTGACCTGACATTTACACTGTTAAACCAACACCAGGCAGGCAGGTTTCTATGGAAACTTGGATGTGCAGTTGAGGAAGGGTGTTTGGCCAGCAGGATGTGCCCGTGTCAGGAGGGAATGAAGCCCCCGTTGTTTGCACCCCGTAGCGCAGGCGCGCGGAGTTTTGGCCGCTGCCCTGTGCCTGCATCCTGTGCATTGGCAACGCATTCTACACGCCCTGCAATTTGCTCGTGTGCCTTCGCTTGGGCTGGACTGAACCCACCGAGGTCAGAAGCAGCTAATGGCCCATGCAAACGAACCCTGGGAGCAGCCTTAACGAGGCAGCGCTCCTAAGCTCGTGAAGGAGCTGCTGCTCCCGCGGTTTAGCCCCACGGAGAGCAGCGCAGCGCGGGGGGCATATGCTTCATTTAAACAAATCAGTGAGGCACATTAGTGACTCATTAAGCAGTTGCCTTTCATCATTATTCAAGCAGCCATGTAGGTCACTTGGCTTCTCTACACACAGGTCAGAAAATAAATTCACAAAACGCATCCAGTCAGCACTGGGAATGCAGGAGCATCCTGCTCCGTCAGCTCATTCCACAGGTGCGCGGGGGCCACACTCACTTTCTCCCAAGGTCTTCTGCAGCAGGTCGTGCTTGGCTTGGAGCTTCGTTATCAGGTTCCTGCCTTCCAGGTACTCCTTCATTTTCTGGCGAGGAGCAAAGAAAGGGACATGAGTGGGGGGACAAGCAGTGGCTTTTGCTGCATCCTCGTGCCGCGGTTCCCAACGCCGGGGTGGCCTCGAGTCACCCACGTTGCACAGGGCTCCCACGCCTGGCCCAGGGCTCCGCAGGGACATTCCCACAGGGACGTTCCCACGGGGATGTTCCCACTGCTCTGCTCCGGCTGCCCTGGATGCGCGGGGGCTGCCGCGCACCGCGGCTGCGGGGAGGCCCACGGCTGCTCTTTCCTTTTGGCAAACTATGACCTGCTGCTGTGCTTCTCAAGCTTCCCTCGCCCCACTTTCCTGCCCAACGCTGCGCCTGCCTCCGCGCAGGACGGTGCACAGGGAGTCCATGCCCGGGCGTGAGAGCTGCTGCCTCAGCTCGGATACGGGAGTGACATGTCATATCTTCATTTCTCCCCCTCGTTTCTGATTCTTCCCAGCTCTGCCATTTTTTTTTATTTTTTTTTTAATTATTTATTTATTTTGCAATTCTTTCATCTCCTGCTTTGCATGGCAGCACAGTGCAACCCAGGCCATCCCAACCACCACCCACTCCACAGTCACGCGGGATACCCAAAATACGGAGCCAGCAAAACGAGCCCCAGGAAAGGAGCCTCATGGCAGGGCCGTGCCGGAGGCCTCCGCGGCTGACACGGCTGCACTGAGGGTTTTTGTTTTAGTATTTCCCTGTCCAACCTGTTTCCCAATTCCCACTTATGTTTCTTCCCTAAAGCAGTTACGCTTTTGCATCAAATGCTTAGCAGCAAAAACCAGAGTGTACGTTGCAAAAACAACCAGAAAAGTTGAAGGGGGGATATGAGGATAAATGGGAGTCTGGAAGATGCTGAGCTGCCTGTCTTGAAACCAAGAGCAGGCAGACAGCGCTACAAGGCTGATCTCAAAATAGCTCCAACAGAAGCTTAAAGATCTGCAAATCAACTCGATCTGGAAGAGAGATACGCTTCCCTTTGAAGCGGACACAGAAGTTAAGCTCAGTTTTCCTTCACTCTGCCTGTGTCCCCATGGCAGGGCCGCCTGCACAAGGAGCTGTGCTGGTGCTCAGCCTGCAGAACAGATGTGTCCCCCTCTGCACTGAACACGCTGCCTCCGTGACACAGCTGGAGCTGCACTGCGTGTACCTGGGCACCAAGGGCTGGAAAGACGCTTAAATCACATAATTTCACACCATAAAAATGGTACGGATCTGCTGTTGGGGAGCATTTTGCATCAGCAGCTCCTCAAAACGGTGCCACTGCTATGCCCATTCCTAGCTGGGGTCTGATTTTGGCATTCCTGCCACAAGGAACCAGCGGCAAAACCTAATGGAGCAAAATGCAAACGAGACCCCATCTCCCTGCCTTGCAGCAGCTTCCTTCAAGGAAGCATCCTGCTGCAAACATGCCAGGATACACCTCTAGCGGAGGCACAAATCCTCCCAGCACAAGGACACTGCAGCCAGCACTCCTTAAACTCCCCCAGCAGCTTCCCTATGCCTTACCCAAGAGCCCTGCCTAACCCCCAGCTCAGCACGCGCAATTCCCCGCTCTGCTCCGGGCCAACATGGATTATTTTTCCCACGTGAGCATCGCTCCTTCGCCCGTCAGCCCTGGGCACGCTCGGGTTGGGGGCACTCGGCTCCTCCCGCGCCCAGATCTCGCCCACGTTGCTGCCCTGCAGCTCCCTCCTCGTTCTCCTCAGCACCCACCGCCCGCCCTCCCACCCACGGACCTAATTGCTCCTTGCGGCTCCAAGCTGGAAATTCCTATAAAGGATATTTATGGCTCTGCGCAGCCATAGATCAATCACGGAGGCGATTAGGCTGCTTAGAGAAGCCCCTCATAGATCAGTGTTGTTGGGCTGAGAGTTATTGCATCCGGGCGGCTCTGACGTGACAAATAGTCCCTCTGCCCGGGGGGACAGCGACGTCCCTGCCTGGAAGCAAGTGGGAAGCACCATGGAATGGACAAAACACTGCACCCAAGTCCAGCCATGGGCTCCTCCGTGTGCATTTGAACACGTAATAGTCCTTCTCCAGGGAGAGAACGCTTGCAGTTCAATTAAAAAATCATTTTTCTACTTCCATAATCATAGGCAGGCTGGTTAATCCCTTCTTAATTGAATCCGTTTCCCTGCCCACTTTTCTCCATAGCCAGCTTCACCTTTTAAGAAGGCTTTTTAATTTAATGGGTTATTTTAAGCTTTTTAAGCACTTGTCCAGGGAAATGATAAACTCATTGATAAACTTCTAATAAGGCAGGACCTGACAAAAACCATCCTGTCCACCCGTGCAATTTGCACAGAAATGTCACAGTTTTAATAAGCGACACCATTCTTGGAGCAGGAACCTACAGGACACTAAGTATAGCAAAAGATGCCCAAGGGAATGACAGAAAGGCATAAGGATAAGTCATAATATTTTTGTATACTTTCAAAAAAAAAAAAAATAGAAGAGAATTCAACAGCTCAGCATAAAACAGATTTAAAGGAAAAAAACCACATACTCTGGTATCAAAGTCATTACAGAAAACTATTAGCTTCTTGTAAAATTGCATCAGCTCTATTAAAAGCTTATTTGAAGCTTTTGATAAAGCTCGATTGCTTGGAAGCGGATAACAAAAATAAAAGAACTAAATGCTCTTTCAGTCCATATTCTTTTTGAAAATTTTACATTTACAAGCAGTTATGTTTCTCCCAGACAATTCCTTTTTAGGAAAGGAATGAGAAAAAAAAAAGAAAAAAAAAATCATGTTTTACTCAGCTTATGCAAAAAAAAAAAATTTTATCAAAGGCATCTCGATATATTTCCAAAGAATTCAAAGCACCTGTTTTTAAAAGCAGCATACTATTTCTGCTTGCCCAGAATCAACTACAGGTGCATTTTTGTAAGATGACAACGAGGCTTTGCACTTGTTAATTATTGTAAAAATAATCCTAAAAATGCTATAAATGTGCATGCTTCTAGCAAAGAGCACAGAGGTGGCGAGTTCCCCCAAGCTCTGAACACGGGTTCCTCACCGTGAAGTAGAACTGCTCGGTCTCCTGCTGGTTGGCACGTCTCTTGGCGATGCTCGGTTTGCTCATGAACGTTTCGGAGACGGTGGATTTAACAGACTCCATCGAGTTGCTGTACTGGAAGCAGTCAGAGACATCAAAGTCCTCTATCGTGACGATATCCTGGATAGTCTGGAGCGTGGCTTCCATGGTCTTCTTAACCTGGCCAGTAAGAAGAAGTCTTTCAATAAAAGTGAAGGTCATATGTTGCAGGTGAAAAAACGCAATAATACCCCAGAGCATTGTACTAAATGAGCAGAGATTAGTGGTTTTGTGATCTGTGGGCCATAACTGGGGTCCAGGCTCTGCTGCCTCACAGCCCACAGGCCGTGGAAGCAGAAGGGCGGCAGGAGCCGAGGCAGCCGGCAGTTAATCAACTTCTCTAATCCCGGCTCCAATCAACTTCTTTCCTGCATTTTACCACAAACTCACAAAATAGGATCACAGCAACTGCATTTTTCGCAGTGCCCTCCTGGCTGTGCCAGCGGTGGAAGGTTGCTGGCTTTGGGTGCCTCACCTCTTCATTTTCAATCTTCAGCGTAGATAATCTGGACTGCAGCTGCTGGCACCTCTGCACTAGTTCACTCTGCACTGGCTGCTGGGCACAGAGCTGTGATTCCTGCAAGGAAAGATGCAGCATTTTTAGAGTGCTAGGGAAAAACACAGCCTCCAAACTATATAACTAAATGGAAGAATGACTGCTATGGAGCTAGAGCTGAAGGGAGAACATGGACTGACCATATCACCCATATGGGGCTGGAACTCGAACTTCATGGGCGGGCAGAAGACATTGTTGTACATCTCCATGAGCCGCTGTTTGTCGCTGTTGGCGTCCAGGTTCTCCACGGCGTTTTCAATGGCATCCAGACCCTCGTGCTTCGACTGCTCCAGGTTCAGCTCCGCGGACAGGAATGTCCTCAGCGCTCTGTTGAGGCTGGCGTGGTATCCCAGGTCACAACACTGCTGGAAGAGGACACACAATTTCATATGAATAAGAGAAGAAACTCAATTAGAGTTTCTGAGGCTATAAGGGACACTTCACCATTTTCTCGGTACCAGAGTGGTCTCTGATTGACCACAGAGATGTCTTGACTAGCTGTCTCCATTGTAAACAGAACCCACTCTATGAAAACCTTAAATAAAAATTTCTAAATTACTCCAACTAAGATGAAGACAAAGTGCTGAAGTGCTATCTAGAGAAACAAATGGTAGGATTTGGATCAATTATTCCACCCAAGACACAGAAAACTGCTTCATTCGGCACGCTTCGGAAGCCCGAATACGACCTGAACCATCGTCAACAGAAGGGAGTCATCCAAAAAGCAAGCAGCAATGGCTTGAGGTGACATCATCGCCAGGGTGAAAGAGAAGAGCAAAAAAGCCCTTGCAAGCAGAAGGTGGTCAAGGTCAAGAATTTCCTGGCTCTCGCTGACACGAGGATGATGTCACTGGCAGCCTACCAGGCAGCTTCACCTCCACCACACCGCACGGCCAAGTCCTAATGTTTCATAAGGGAGAAAAGGGCTTTTCTTGAACTGATCAGAAACAGACCGGTTTTCTTTTCAGTCATCTAATAAACTGAGCGAGAAAGGAGCCCACCTCTTGGAATTACAAGCAAGATTACATATGCTAGGAGGCTATCCAAAAAGAAAGAAAGAGACCATCTGCTTGATTGCTATGCTGCTCTGTAAGCAAAAAAGATCACATGAAATCTCCTCCTCACTCATCATTGGAGTCTCATCACTGTCATTGTGAGTAGAGGGAGGAAGGGGAAAATAAAAAAGGCACGCTGGAGATGGAGAGGGCCGGGTGACTGGCGGGCCCATTCCTGCTTCCGCAGCGTTTCTGCTGCCGAGCGCTGCCGCATGCCCGGCTCCGGTGCCAACGGGCTGCGGCAGGTGGGAGCCTTGTGAAGGAGCAGCAGTTGCTGCTTATTCCGGAGGCAGGGAATGAGAAGGACGTTACGTTCAATCGGAAAGCACAAAAACAGGCAAAAAAAAAAAAAAAAACCCAAAAGATGCTTGATTGAGAATGTGCACGTGTGGGATAGCCTTGGATCCCCAACTCACAGCTCCTGCCTTGTGCACCTCACAGTTACTGCCCTGTGCACCTCGCATGTGCCCCACGTGCTGTGGGGCCAGCGTGGCCACCAGCGCAGCCAGCACTGCACTCACCTAAGACGCAACAGAAGCAGCCACTTACTTTCCCCTCCCGAGCGATGTTTTAACCCACCCAAACAGGGTGGCACCGTCCCCATCATCAAACGCAAGGCAAAGCCATGAGCGCCCAAGAGGGGATCGCTGATGGGACTGAAAAGGCCAGTGGGACTAAATATTTTATAGCCCACCTCATTAGGCATTAGGACTACATTAAAGCTGAAAAAAACCACTTTGCCAGCTTATTTTATTGAAGCCAGCGAAAGGAAACGTTTTTCAGCCCACTCCCCCACTTTAATATTTTTAAGAGTCCAGCATACTGCATTTATAGAAGTATCAGTCTTGCCATCCCTTTTCTGGGTTATATAAATGTTTGATGGAATCGTTCTCCAAGGAAATCAATTTTTTATAAGAATTTAATGATAACTCATTCAAATTCACTTCCCAAGATGACAGCTGATTAACCCTTTGCCAGCCAGTGCCTTTTAAACAGGCTCAGAAGAGAAGGCTCAAGAGAAGAGAGTCCTCTGTTTTCAAATGCTGTAATTCAAACTTAACAAATCTTAACTGGAAAGAAAGGTCTCCTGAAGAGGCAGCACATATAGAAGAAGCAGATCTCTCCAGTATTACAGTTTAGCAAAAAGTGACATTTTGAAATGGTGAAAAATCCGCTCGTTTCTATTGCTTTTACCACTTCTTTTGAGACCTTTCCTCACTGGTCTGACAAAGCAGTCCCAGGGCCACAAGACAGAAAAGCATCAGGCTCCTGCAGACTTAGTGGGTGGGGGTGTTAGACAACAGCCCAAGCAGCAGAGAGATTTATTCCTCTCCTGAAATATGCTGTGAGAAGCATTAACCTTGAAAAGTATGGAATTTTTCAAGGCAAGTTACCGGCTGCACTGGAAAATGCTTCTGTCCTTGATTTCTTTTACCAACTGGCATCCTGCTTTACAGGTTCATTTTTCTTGTTACAAACATGCTGAATTATAAGCTTGAGGGTTTGCTTAAAGGAGTGACTAGAAACTGTCAAATAGGGATACTAGAACTGCATTTCACTTTACTAAGCAATTCCTTCCACGTGTTTCAGTGCCAGGTTTATCACATAAACAGACTACAGAAGCCAGCTAAGAAAAGCTCCCCTAACAACTTAATGGCTGATCATCACGCCAATTGTTCCTGCCCAAAATGCCCATCAAACAGGATCAGTCTGCAGTGACTGAGGATGTTGCTGGCTGTGCTGGTACATGACCCGTTGAAGGAGAGGCACCAGTGAGGGTTAATGACAACGATATTCACCGCAGTCACCCAAGCAGCAGAACTTACATCAATGAGATCAGACAGGTCATGAATGTAATACTTGAATACAGATGCGTTGGTGGCTTCCAGAGCCAGCAGATACTCGTTTCTTGCCTTAATTGCCTTCAGTCTATTTTCTGTGTACTTAGCTTGGCGCTGAAAGAGAAACCAAAGACAGGATTTATTTTACAAAGAGCGATGGAAGGAGCAATAGCATTCTTAGTAACACTAAGCTGTGTTCTGAACAATTCTTACCCTAATTTGTTTAGATCTGTTGGATCCGGATTTTATCAGGATTCAAAGGCTTAAAGCTTAGATTAATTACCTAGAAGGGTTTAAATATTACTGAACTACACAGTTTTAGCCCTCTCTGAGGGACTGTGACTATGGTGCTGGCAAGGAGTAAGGGAAGAACGAGGAACAAGATGGGTTTATGAGATTGTAGGTGACTTCTTCCAGATGTAATTTCAGTTACCTCCACACCTTGAGCTGCAACTAAGCACTGCCTGCTATTGAAACTTGCACAAACGCACCCTTGCCCACAGTGCAGATCTCAGCTTTAGCACTTACTAGCATGGCTGGGCTAAACACGACCTGGTAGCCCCAAGTCAACACCAGCTCTGCCCTGCGCTCATCTGCTTTTGTTGGCCCTAGTCTGTAATTTAAGGTCGCTTATCTAAAACCTGGCCTAATCTTTTAACTGAGGTGGTCAGCACTGCCAGTACCTTCTCCTTCATTTTCTCGATTTTCTTCACGGAGCTTCGTCGAACGTGTTTCTCCTCGAACTTGACATTGGAAGTGGAGTCGGGGGAGCGCGGGGTCTGCTTGTCCTCTTGTTTCACTGACTTCCCAATCTGTTTCTCTTCCTGCTTCTCTGCCTCCTTCAGCTTGCTCTGAGCGCTGATGCTGTCCGCATTGTACATGTGGTAGGTTTTCATCACCTGAGGAACAGGCACAGCGGTCACAAAGTGTAAACAGGGCACAGAGAGAAACAGGTTTATCCACCCGGCAGGCCAGGCACGCAGAAACTTGGCTTTCCACTATCATGTGCACGAGCAAGCCTTGGGGAAGAACATTGCACAGACACCTACAAAGCTCCAAAGTTAAGAGAGAGGAGGAAAAAACACCTACGAAAAACTCATGTGCTACAAAAAAAATCCTATGAAAAGTCACAACACTTCATTGGGACATTGTTTGGGTTTGGCCAAGACCCTCCCAAGAAATAAGTTTCTTTAACATAACTCCTCACAGTAGGCTTGTATTAAATGCGAGATATCGCACGAAGTAAACAAAGGCACTTGGACAGGGACCAGCGAGTCGGATCTGTTTGCCTGCTGGGAGGCAGAAATGTCTAAACTGGCAAAATACCCAGGAAAACATCACATCACAAAGCAGCATGCCAGAAGACGCGCAAATGAGAGTGCAGCTCCCAAAATGAATTTGAAATCAAAGTAGATTAATTTGCAGCTGCTGCTTTGTTCGATTTTGGCACATGCCTTCCTGTACACTCCAATGGAGGAATCATAAAAAAAAAGAGAAAAATCAAAAAAATAGAGCAATTATATCTTGCCTTCTTACTATTCAGAGAACATTAGTTGCCAAAGTTGGAAAAATGATTGATTTTCCTCACCAGATATGATTTCTAAATGTCTATCGGCCTTGCTTCCAGATACATCAGTCATTTAAATATTACAAGTCTCAAGCAACTATATGCAAATCAACAGTTTGATCATAACAGCTGCAAAAGCAGCTCATGTTCAATTTCTTTAAATCACATTTGATGTGAAAAACCATTTCTGATCGCCTTAGGTAACCAGAACATCAATAAGCGAATGTGGTTCTTTCAGAAGGCTCAAGGAGAGCAGAAAATTGTGCTATAAGGATTAGAGCACTTTTTTTTATATATATAGATAAATATTATCCCAAAAGCAGAGCAATGCACTGACTTCTCCCTATATTTCACCTTAGTCTGAAGCGCAAGAGGATTTTGCCGCAGCCGGCTGTGTGCTGCCTTAGTGCAGGGAGCAGCAGAGCTGCTCGGATGCCAACACGGGTTGTATTTAATGGTGAAAGAACAGGCGAACGCTGCCGCTCTTCAGGATTTCCTGCATAATTTACACAGCCAGCCTCAGCGACAGCCGATGCTCCGCCTGTAGCCAGGTATTTATACTAACAGAAGCAGAGTAGTGTCTTCTCCTCTATGGCTGAAAGCGGAGCGGGCAGAAAGCAAGAGCGGCAGGAATAAAAGGGGGGAAATGCTGATTTTAATGAGTTCGCCCTGCTGGCAATGCCGCGCGGGCAGCCCCAAGCGGCGCCTGCTCCCTGCCTGGCAGCAGGGAGGCTGCTGCTGCCTCACTGGAGGCTGCTGCCTCACTGGAGGCTGCAGCCAAGCCCGGACTCGGGCTGCGCGGGACAGTGGAGGACAAAGGGCTCCGGGGAAAGCGCTCTGCACCGGAGCGGCGGATGGAAACCCAGGCCTGGCTCCATTGCCATGGACATCCACCTATGCTGCAAGCAGAGACACTGCCAATCCTTTACTCGGAAAATAGGAAAGAGGGAAACATTGCTGAAATAGATTGTATCCTCCAAAAGAAAAGAAAAAAATATATAATTTCTACAGCAGCCAACCAGAGGAGCCACCTTCACTTCCAAAGGAAATTCTCTGCCTTAAAGGAGACCAGTGGAGATCCCACGGCAGCTACCGCAGCAGCAGGAACACTGCAGATTTTCCTGCTCTGGAGCTCCCTTGTTTTCCTAAGAGATTCTAATTCCAGGGAAGCCTCTGACGCTCTCAATACCCAACCTCCTCACCACACTGACGTGCCCCGACTCCAGGGACACCGTCTTCAAGGAACGGAAGAGAGAACTTGTCCCTTAATGCAATGACTCCACGCAGCATTAAGAAAGGAGGAAAGTAAAGTCATTTTGGACACCAAAGCCATGGAAAACCAGGCAGCCGTTCTGCTTTTCAGACAGAACCAATTCACTAGCAGCTGCTGAGGGGAAAAGAAATAATCCAACCACGGCTTTTCCATTCATCTACGTGAGAGGAAAACTCCCCAAGCAGCAGATGAACTTCACCGAACACATTCCTGCTCTTTCCCGAGGCAATGCCTCTTTCTTGGTGCTCCAGCAGCCGGGCTGGGGAGGGGAATGCGCAGATGGAAGCCTATTGCTCTAAAGGGAACTGCTTTGCTGGAAGAGCAGGGGAACAAATAAACACAGAGCGTTTTTCCTCCCCACTGAAGGCGCATGCTTTCTTTTATATGCTCATTTCCAGAAGGGGACCACACAAAACCACTGAGCTTATCTGATTGAAGCACGCAATAACCCGACAGATATTTTGTGTGTGTGTGTGTGCGTGTGTGTATTTGGAAATAATTCTAAATATCTCCTTTTTTTCCTTCTTTCTCTTCATGTTTTTTAAACACTGCAGCTAGTAGGAGGAACGTGTAAGCTTGAGATATCTGAGAAGCAGAGCCAACGCTTACAGAACTGAAACAGAACATAAAGATGGAGTGAAAAAGCGAGATTTATGCTACTGTATAGCCCGGTGAACACAAACTGCCTCAAATCACCGGGGCTGCAGACATTTATCAGTCTTAGTGCTTAGTCCCCGCTGCAACGGCAGGCTGGGAGAAGCCAAACGCTCTTCCTTCTGTGTGAAAGGCAGCCAAGGGGCCGCCGTGATTTACCGTATAGAGTTCATTGAGGACCTTCATCAAGTCTTCCTGGAGCTGCAGTCCCACTTCCTTGCTCTGCAACGAAACAGAGAAATGAAAGTTAATTGGGGAAGTCGGGAGGGAGGCGAGGGAAGCGAGGGTGCTCCACATCTACCAGACCAGGCTTAATGGAGCCCCGTTATTTACGCTGGCAAATCCAATAACTGCTCAGCCAACAGCCACTCACGGTCCAATTGCACAAACGGTGTTAATAAACTGAAACGTTATATGTCCACAGCCAAGCCGGCCTTGGACTTTGGACACAGGAAAACTTCCAGCAAACTACGATGCCCAGCTTTAGGAATAAGTGGATTCTCCGACCTTGTACGTAGCAGTCTTAGTGTCTTACTATGACATTTTGGCATATAGCAGCATATGGAAGCTGAAGAAATGCAGGCTGGAGGCCTCACAGTAAAGACAGTCCTGTATTTAATGCTGTATCACAAAACAGCAGGCAACAATTCAATTCTCCTGATATAAAACCAAGCGACAAAGGCTCCGCGACGCTGTCGTGAGAAGGTAGGTGCTGCATAGAGGCTGTATGGGGCCAAAGATTTGGCTCCACAGCACAACAAATAACTATAATTATGTAAGTGCCACTGCACTGCATTTCGACCCACCCTTTCAAAGACAGCAAGTAAAGACCTCCAGTTTGCAGAGGACAAGACAGAAGCAAGGAAGGTCCTCACGCTGCTGCAGCCTCTTGCAAATGCTCCTCTGCTCATGAATTTCCCCACCGCAGCTACAGAAGCAACAGAACCGAGGGCAGAATTATTCTGAGGGGGATGTGCATCGCGTTCAGTTCTTCCTCCTTCCATTCAAATTATGGATTCAGATATGGGATTTACCTCCACAGACAAAGCAATCAGCTATTTTTAAACTACAAAGGTGCAATTTAACTCTATCAACACAAATCGCTGCCTCCCGGGGGAGGCTCGCATTAGCGAGCTGCCTGGTTCAACCCAAGGCGATATGACTCATGAACTCATTTCCTTCTCTAAGAAAGAGCAGAAGGAAGAGAAATAGGGATTAGCAGCAGACAGACGAGCCGGCTTGTCAAAACTGGTCAAGGCCCAAACTAGCCTGCAGCCAAGTGTCAGATTTAGAATATCTACATATTTATTTAAAACCCCTGCTAAGTGACAGGCAGTGCACATTTCTAGATTGCTACTGGACACAAGTACTGTGTGAAGAGGCAAATATTTGGCTTTAGCTAAGGGCAGAAACAGGGAACTGATAAGACCATTTTGCTGTTAAGGATTGTGAGAGCCACAGGCGGAACGGCCGGGGCTGACACCTCTCCACGCAAAGGCCGCTGCGAGGAGGCGTTGCTGCCTGCACCAGCTCCCGTATGCAAAGGAGGAGAGCAGCTTCCTCACCCAGCGAGTTCAATGGCACTGCTAATCTGCCCTTGATTAGAGACAAGATTTCATGCTGCAGCTGATTCATATTCCAAAGAGCTTCCATGAGAAAACTCTGAGAACGGCAGATGCACCGAGGAGCAGAGTCAGCAGGCGCTTAACGACGCTCCTTGCTGCGCAGGGAGCCGTCTCCACCAGGCACCTCAGCTTTGCTAAACCCTTCCTAAACCATCGCCCCAGCTTTGCTAAACCCTTCCTAAAGCATCATCCTGGCTTTGCCGAACCCTTCCCAAACCCTTGCCCCGGCCTTCCAGAACCATTTCCAAACCCTCACCCCGGCTTTCCAGAACCTTTTCCCAAACCCTCGCCCCAGCTTTGCTGAACCCTTCCCAAACTGCGCCGGGGGCTGCAGCGCGCACCGGGTGCAGAGCCCGTCCCCGCGAGCCTCCGGCCCAGCTGCACCCGCCACAACCAAATCCCCAAGCGCAGAGGATCCTCTCCTGCCGTCGCCCCTGCTCAGCGAGCGCCGAGGGACCCACGGCCACGTCCAAAGGAGCCCATCCGCGCCCCTCGCAGGCTGCCCGTGCTCCGAGCCTCGCCAGGGCGCAGCTGAGCTGCGCAAAAACCATCCCCCTCAGACCCCGGCTCGGAGCAGAGCCGACGATTCCGATTCCCGCTCCAAGGCATTCTGCAGCAGCAGCTTCACCTCCCCGCTGGCACCGCCGGCAGGGGCTGGAGCTGCCGCTCGTCGGCGACAGGGGCCGCGAGGATTTGCCGCCTGTCCCCGATGATTAACGAGGCCGACGGCCGGGGCTGCTTCCAACGCCCCGAGCGCCCAGCTTGGCCCTGGGAAAGCGCCTTGCACTGGGGACCCGGCCCATCCTCCTCCTCCTCTCGCCCGCCTCTTGCTGCCCGTTTGCTTATTTCTCCCATAAAATTGCTCGCTCGCTGTGCAAACTGCTGAAGCATCAATTATGCAGAGGCGGATTAAAACGCATCCTTTAATGCATATTCAGATGCATATTCAGGCTGGAGAAGAAAGGGAGAAATGTAAACAGAGAACTGTCAAAACGCCCAAGCGCTCGTGTTCCCGAGCGCGGCGCGGACGGAGCGGCGCTGCGCCCCGGGAGCGGCGCGTTAAGACAAAGGCGGCAGAGAGCAGAAGTGGCATGAAAACAAGGCCCCCAAGGGCCAATTTAGGGCTCTTCCCAGTGCTCTTTTTGCCCGCTTGATCCGGGAGGTGGTGAGCGGGCTTGGTTGCGTCTCGCCCTTGGGAACGCGGCACCGCGCGGGTCGGGACCCTGACGGTCCCGTTGCAAGGGGGGCACCCGCAGGCCGAGCGGGGCCGGGGGCTCGGGCACCCCTGCTCTGCGCCGCTCAAGGGCCGCTTTGTTCCCGCTCCCCTGCCCTCCACCTCCCGCTAATTCAATCAAGATGTTTTTGGGAGCCGCTGCAGCCCTCGCGCGGCTGTTCCGCATTCCTGGCAGCATTAGCGACTTCAGCTTCAAAACATTTAGGGGGGATCACAAGGACGAGAGCTCGGGAATGCTGTCAGCACGTCAAGCCTCAGCACCATCACTCCACGTCACATAGAGGGATGGGAGGCTTCAAACCCAACATCCAGGGGACCAGAATCCAAGCCTGCCCATTTTGGAAACGATCCTCTAAAGCAGACCATTTCCCTTGCCTTTTTTAAAAAAATATAAGGGGAATAAATGCATACAGATAGGCAGAGAGCAGGCATCTCATTTTCCAATTCTGTGTTAAATTAGCAGTGGCAGGGGAGGCGCAAGGTGACAGTGCCCTTGCTGCGAGCAGAAATGTAAAACTCTTTTCTATTCCTGGACCTAAATCTTGTCCAAACGGAGATCACAGGATGTAGTTCACAGGTTTGCTAAGGAGAACACTTGCTAGGTAGAGTTTTCCAAGTCCAAACATGATGCACTACCTGGCTTAGCAAGTCAGATCTAAGCTTAGACACCACTAGACTCCTTGTGTGCTTCTTACAGGCTTGACTTAATTCCATGTTGAACGCAGGAACAGACACAACTCACCGTTGGGACATTCTCACCTAAGCAAATGCTCGGATCCCAGGTACAGCTTTACTCTACCACCATCATCATCCTCAACCCACCTCAGCTTTTATTGATGCCATCCCTATTTCACAAACGCGCTGCAAGGTTTGGAGAACGTTCTCCCTCAGCTTCTGCAGAGCAAGTGCTCATGGCTCTTCCCCAGCCCTAGGGGATGGGAGCTCCTCACGGGTCTTTCTCCCAAGATTTCTTCTTTCCAAGCTCTCGGAGTTTAGAGAATCCCGAGGAGAACAAACCCATGACGTGATGCGATCTACACGCGGATTTGGGGGACAGTCGGACCATTGCTTCCCAGCACAATGCCCCATTATGCAGCCCCAGCCCCACTGAAGTCACTGCTGCAGTTTCAAACTTTCTCCACTAATTTCACTAGCCATTTGTTAAATTCCGTTTCATCACTGTATTAGAAGGAATTTTCCCCACAAAGCAAAAATGCGGTAATCTGAAAAAGCCATTCCTACATAAAACCACATCTCAATATTGCCTTCTTCTTCCAACTAACCCCTGCCCTTTTCCTCCTACTTTTTTTGCTGTTTTCTGTGCCTGTAGTACTAAATCCTGTGCTTCAGGTGCTCAATCCCAGCAAATCAGGCAATTTTATGGCTGAGAGCCCTCATTCTTCCAGCAAAGTCGGCCTCGTTCTCACCTGCCGAGCGAGCAGCACCTGAAAGGGGCTGCAGCAGGAGCGGGAATGCAGAAATAAACAGCGCAGTGCAACAGCAGTGGGCAACTTCTACACGCTGCAAGCACTGAAATGCAGCTTTAATTTGCCACCAAACCAGATCCCTTTGCTGCTAGCACAGAGCTGCAAATTGCCCTCGCTCTGGGTTTTTGCAAATTGTAAATTTTGCAATTTGCAAATTGCCCTCGCACATGGGTTTTGTCCTGGAAAAAAACAAATAAACGTCAATACAGCTCATATAGCACCCAGCATCTTGGCCGGGGCGCTTCCTTCCCCTGCTCAGCTTTTCCACGTGTGCCACATTTTCAAATTGCTGCTATTCCAGCCCCGATGCAGCAAAGTGAGAGACGCTGCAGCTGCAATGTAGGTCATCTCAAGCAGGGACCCCTTCAGAGAATTAATAATTCCTCTTCCTTGATTACTGCAGGCTTTTAACCAGCTCATCACGGATTCTTCATTTCACATCAAACACAGCGCTCTACACGGGCAGATAAATAAAGTATTTTTTCCCCTACGATCAAAGGTATTAAAGAGGACGAGAATTCAAAATTGACAGTTTGGGTTTTCAGTCCTTTTTCTAGGTTTCCTTTCCTTAAGCACCCTTATTGAATTTGCTAGGCTAGCGTAAAGCCAGGACCACTGTGCTTGTTAAATAGAGGAGATTTTAAAAGCTGTGGCCCAACACGATGCGAGAGGGGGACATGAGAGCAAGGAAGAGGCACCAAGAGCCACCATCAGGGATGAAACCCACCCAAAAAGGCGGTGAGTTCAACGGTAGGTTCAAACGTCCCCGAGGGGTGTCAGCTACCTGAGGCCAGCGGTTACGCGCTCGGGTTTTCCAGGAGTTGATGGCAAAGCTGTTTAAGGAGCACAGCGAGGAGCTCGACGGGGGAGTCGGTGCTACCCTCTCAGGTCACCAGCGCTCGGATGGAAACAAGACGATCAGAGAGGATCTTCTCGTTGAAGATCCTCTCTTCAAGTGGCAGATGAAAGCTGCTGGTGCTGCCCCCGACGAGCCGCCCGGCGTGCAGACTGCACAGAGAGCTGCACAACCTCAAACGTGGCGCTATTCTGTAGGCTGAAGATCTGTCAGGCCAAAAAAAGACAGCTTTTTCATAAAATCCACGAAGCAGGAAGGCTTTCCTAATCCTAATCTTCTGAAAATTTTATCTCTATTCCTTAAATCTGAGCAGAAACCATGAGTCTGCTTCTAAGGAACTCTTGGAGACAACAAAAAGAGTGATTAAAGATACCGAATTAAAAAGCCCTCTTCTCCAAAGGCAACGGGAGAGTAAATAATATGGCAGGATCCCTGCAAAAAGAGCGAGATCGCAGGCGAGAAAAACTGATAAGTGGAGCCGACAACGGCCGCACGCAGGGGGAAATCAAGGAGAAGCGACAGCGCGATGAGGGGATCGACACCGCTAAATGTGTAAATAAAAAGGCCGTGCATGGGAAGGACGAGGAGGAAGGGATCAAGGTGTGTGTGATGGCAGCCGCGCAGGAGGGAGGCTGGGATCCAAGGTGGGCTGCGACTGGGACCATTCCAGCCATTCCCCCTTGGCTCCATTGGCTCCAGAGAGGTGATTTATTTCCCCATTTACCTTCCATGTCCCTGGAATCAGCCCAGGGCCGCGCTGGCAGCGTCCCCCAGCCAGGGGCAAGGAGGCAGCCGCCAGGAAGGGCTGCTGGGCATCCAAGGCGCACGCGACACCGCGCGCTTGCTGGCTGTCACACAACCCCAGAGATCATCCAGCCCAGCCCTCTGCTCCAGCAGGGACACCTAAAGCACGGGGACGCCACAGGATGGCACAGGCTCCCATCCAGGTGGGTCTGAAGACCTCCGAATCACTCTTCACCCTCACCCTGCTCCTGCTCAGTGGATGTTCAGGGGACTACATGGCAAGGTCCCTTACAGTCTGATCTTGAGTGCCTTCTATGCATCAAAATACTGCTTAAAACAAATGTTATGAATACATAGAACAATTCAAACATAATTAAAACAAGAAAAATCAAACTGCAGTACTTTGGAGTGGGCCAAAACGCTTTGTTTGCTGAGATAAACTGATGGAATCCCATCAACTGATGGAATGAGCACGCTGAATGGAGAAAAAATACACTGAAAAGCAGTGGGAGGAGAGCAAGGGGGGATAAAAGGGAGGTGAAGGCAGCAGGGCCCTGCTCGCAGGGAAAACCACGTTGAGACAGACCCTGAGGACAGACACGGGGACGGCAGGGACAGAAACGACCCTGCTGCAAGGCAGGGACGGCAACGGCTCTCAAACCCTGCCGGTGCCCTAAGCAAGGGTCGGGTTTTCCTTCCCATTGCATAACTCGCAATCGTTCTATCTCTTTTCAATAGTATTTCACAAAAATCTTGAAAAAGTTTGGGGGAAACGTGAAGCAAATAACAGGCATTTCTCTATAACTTCCAGGGCTTTCAATAATCTATGTGATTCTGATAATTTTAGCACTCGAAACCTGCCTTTTTAACCACCATAAATCTTAGTAAGACTCCCCGTTTACCCTCAGTCCTACTCCCCCTGTTCACCCTCAGTTTTCAGACAAAACAGGCTCATCTAAAATAGCTCTTGTTCAGCAACTTCAGACCATAAGAAGTTTTCAAGGTGAGGAAACAAAGCCAGCTATAGAAAATATCCTTTGGCAGCGTGCGGCTGCTCTTATCAGCAGAGATCCCTTTGAAGCGGCTGGCAAGCTTCCAGCTGGGCTCAAGCGAACAAGCCCCTTCCCATCCTCGCAGAGCCCTGCCAAGGGGTCTCCTCATCACGAAACGCAGGCGCAAAAGCTTCGTTAGGCAGCGCCGGCCAGGTCGTCCTCCCACCCCGCTGCAAACGCAGGCGCTGAGGACTGCAGAAGCTTGCAAGCAACGCGGGCACCGCGCCGGAATGGCTCAAACTCCCTGGGTTTCAGCAAAGTTTGAGCACCAGCGCTGCTGCATCCTTCCTGCAATCCCGCTGCTTTTCCACGGAGCTCTGGAGCAGAACGCGGGAGGCTCCGGCTTAGCCGGGACCCTTCCCACCATAGGGCTCCACTCCCACTTCCAGCTACTGCAGGAGACCAAATCCCCAGCGACAACTCAGATCCAGCTCCCGTCCCAGGACACCCGGCTTGATGGAAGTAAAGCTTTTAAAAACCAAGGAAGATAAAATCGTTCTGCAGTATTTTGTGTAACCACGTCCTCAAAACAACATGGGTTGGTGTTTTTAAAATCTCCCATATCACTTTTCTTCAACTGGAAGAAGATTCTTAATAAAAAATATCATCCTCCCACACTGTCTAGCTCTTTTTTTTTCCTCTCTCCTCTAAAACATAATCAAGAAAGAAGGGCAGAAAAAGGCAAAGAGGAAGGGAAAATGAACAAAAGACACCTTAGCTGCATTTTATCCTTTCTCCAAAGGACATCTATCATTGCTCTATCATTTTGTGTGATAGGAACCCTCTCCTTCCTCCCCTTCCCCTTTTTTCCTTTAAGCAGCAATTCCTCCTCCACTACTGACAGCATCTTGTCCTTGGAGAGTTGTTCTCGACTGCCTCCAGGATTGAAATTTTGGAGAATTTCTGATTGTTCTATAAACGTTTCAAAGGCTTCTAGAAATTGCCAACACTAAGCGGATTAGGAGGGGAAAACGTGCCCCGGATTTACCCACTGAATCTCAACTGGAGATTTCCAGGGCAATCCTAAAACAAGGAAATAATTACAGAATGATCTAAGGCAGGTCAAGCACATTTACCCACAGCGAGCAAAAAACAAGCCGTGCATTAGGAACAGGCACAACAGAGAGATCCCCCAGAAGTTGCATCGACAACGAGGCGTCTCGGCAAGGACATGCAGCTCGGTTACCTTCTTGAACAGGCGCCCAGAATCTTCGCTGACCTGGACAAAGCGCGGGATGATGTTGTTGAGATAGATATCGCTTAGGGTGGTGTGATCCCTGCTCTCCCGCTTCACTTGGTTTAGCAGCAGATTCCAGCAGTTGACTGGTGAGAGCACGTTCTGATCCTTCCTATAGGGGATGCAAAATAGAGACCAGCGTTGGATGGGCCGGCACCTGCAGCACGTTGGGTGCGTGCTCAACGGCTCCATTGAGCGCGTTGGCCATCGTCAACTCTAGCGACACGGCTACGGGAGGCCCGGATCTGCTCAGGTGAGAGGAAAGGTTTACAATGTGACAGTGCATACGGAAGATGCAACCCCGCCGCGCACGGCCCGGCACTCGGCAGGGTTTGGTGCATGGGTTTTTAGTGCTCCCAACTGCGCGGGTTTGGGGCCCGACTGCAGTGCCCGGGGACAGCAGCGGCCTTGGCATTCGCAGCTTCCCTGCGACAAAACCCTTTTCAAACACCCAGTTAGTTACGTGGCATCTGCCCGGGAAACAAAAGGAGATGTCTCATGCAGGAGGGCAATTCGTGCAAGCCGCCTAAGCCCAGCCTGGGCAGAAGAGAATGCAATATCCATCCATACAACTATACATTCTCACCTCTAGGGCTTTGCATTCTCACCTCTGGGCTTTCTCAGTCCCACCATGGCCAGTTCCCCCTGCACACACAGCCCAAAAAAGCTGCTACACCTTTTTGTTTTAAGCACAGATATAATAACTTAGAGCAACTCCAATCTGGGCTGGAAAGCCAAAGCTCAACCCCATCACTGCACAAGACTGCACCAGATTCTTTTCCCCTTAAAAGGAGTGGGTGTAATTTCCACAGAAAAGGGAAATATCCTTTTTCTAAAAGAACTGTGCACTCTGCTGCAAGCAGCGTCCGACACCATTGGAGTTACTAAAGAATCAAGCCCCAACAGACTTTTGCTGTCCTTCTAATGGCATTAACAATTGCATCACCAGTGAAAAATGGATAATTTAAAGAGAGAAAAAAAAAAGAACAGTTTCAAAACAACAGATTTTGACACGTGTTTCTTTTTCTTTAAAAGAAGCACAGGAAATGACTGCTGCGTGACGGGGACTGCCCCAAGGGTTGCAGCGCGTGCGTAGGGTGGGAGCGGGCGGAAAAGCGTCCTGGGCTCTCGGTCCTGCTGGTATTTTGAAGAGAGGGAGGAAGGAGGTCCTCCTGGCTCCACTGTTAATCCCAGCTGCTGGAAAAGCTGCTGCTGCTTCCCCATGCTCTGCCCCTGCCCATGGGCACCAGGCTGGCGAGCGCGGCAAGCACAGGGACCGGCAGCCAAGCCCGAACCGGATGGAAAAACCAAGCCTGGACCTCCTGGAAATCACACAGATAGAAGAGAAACCTCCCACAACCCTCTCCCACAGGGGCTAACGCTGTCTATAGGGCCCAGTATTGGCCCATACGTCACGCTATGGGCTCCACGAGCAGCACCTGGCTGTTCCTTGGTGCCTGCTGTTCCCACCGTGCTCCGGCTCCTTCGGAAGCGCTGCCAGGACACAAGGGGCTGCAAGTGCAGACTGCAACCCGTGCAGGAACCCGGGGGGTTCATGTGCCTTGCTCTCCTCCCAAAAAGAGGAGTCCTGAGCACTGAAGAGAAGGGAGAGCCGTGCACAGGAAACCGGAGAGGTGACCGCACGATTCCCAGCTGTCCTGGCTGCGGCAGCGCATCGGCCGGAGCTATTCCGGGGCACATAGCACAAATGCCAGGAGCCCACGGGAGGATGCTGAGCAAAACTGCTCGTGTCCCGGGGCGCCACACGGGGTGTCGATGCTCTCCGGGCGGTTGAACAGGAGAGGCGCCTCCGAGAGGAGAGAACCTTCGCGCGTGGGACTCGCGTCACCGCCGGCCCCTGTCCCCAGCCAGGACAACTCGCTGCTCCCTACAGCTCCGCTGGGAGATTCCCGCGGCTCCCCAGCGCCTGCGGGTCGCCCTGAGCCCTCGGCTGCCTGGTCGGGACAGTCCCTCCGGCTTTTGCACCGGTTTCATGTCTTCACCGCAAGGTTTCTACAGCAAGATGCAAAATCTCCCCCGTTGCATGTGGCACTGGCAGGAGGGAGACAAGGGGACCCCATTCCAACTGTATGGGAAGGGGGCTGCTTCCAGCATCCAGCCGCGTTTCCAGCGCTGTTGGGGTGCATTTGCAGCCCAGGCAATGCCTGCAAAGCCTGTTTGGGGTGTCCCGGCCACCAGCAGGGCTGGCACATGGAGAGGAAGCCGTGCAGGGATCTGCAGAACCACAAGGAATGCAGCTCGGTGCTTCTCGGAGCCTTATCTTGATGGGACTCCTGGGCAGCTTCCACTTCAAAGGTGGCAGTTGGTTCCCAAAGATCAGAGGAGAACATGGAGCCAGACTGTGTGAAACTTCTTAATTAAATTACTCATTCACACGAGGAACTCGCAGGCGAGCAGGGATGCGTCCGCTTTGCTTTGTCCAACGAGGGCACAACAGGAAAGTTACCTTAGAAATAAAGTTCTATGGATCTGAACAGCAGATTTGAGACAGGAAGTTATTTCCAGATGGGTGTTGCTGAAAGGTTCGGGTTCGTCTCTGTCCACGGCTGCTCAGGCTGCTCCCAATTCTGTTTTGAATCCGCTCTGTAACAGGAGCTGTCATCACAGGCCCCACGCAGAACAACCCGGCATCACTGAGAGGGTGAAAACATCCCCCAGGTTTCCAGGCTCAATCACATCAAAGAGAAATACTCAATTACACCAAAAAGAAACACAGCGCAGAAAAAGCTACTTGTTCTTGTGAAGCGCCTCCCTCCAGCCCCACACACAACTGCAAGCCCATCCAATCCACATTAATTAACATTTCTACTCCTCCCATAGCCTATGCCATCTCTCCTTAAATAGATCATTCCCATTTTGAGGAAATAATCGATTTTCTCTGCAAACTCCTGATCCAAATCCCTGCCTGGCTTCCCCTGCAGGTCTCCCCGACACCGCTGCAGGTAAAGCGCAAACGCCGCGAGCTGCGAGCGCTGACATAAAGGCTGCTCCCAGCCCTGCTCTTCCAAACGATCCTCGTTGGGAACATCTGTTGTTTACGAGTGCTCAGCCCGCAGGTTGCCAGACTCATCCTGCACCCTCCGCTCGCAGGCGCGGGTGCCAGCAGCCCAGCTGAATTTCACGCTGGGATATCCCGGACATTCTGCACTCCAGCTGACAATTGCTACTCGCTCTCCCACTTCCCCAGATTTTCCCAGTTTAAAATACGGCCTTAAAATAGCCTCGTCCTCACTTTGTGCTTTTTTTTTTTTTTTTCCCTCCTCTCCAGATTCCTCCCCTTAACTAAATTACTCAAGATTCGCAATGGTGTTTATATTGTTAACAATTCATTGGGGATGGTAAACGTCTTAAGAACAAAAAAGATGTGGAACGGACCAGAATTTGGAAGCTAAAGTGTTTTGTTTGTTTGGGTTTGTTTTTTTGTTTTTATTTATTTTTTTTTATTTTAAAAAAGGAGACGTTTGGGTGCAGCCAGAGCCTTCCCTAGAGGGGACTCCCTGTTCAGCGGCGCTGAAGGAGCCCACGGAGCACACAGCAACACAGAGCCCTGCAGAAACGGATGCTCTCAGTTAACGGCTACGCATAAGGCTTCAATCTAGCAGATTTTTATGGAGCAATGACTAAACTTCTGACCGAGAAACCCCTGCACCAGGAGGGGCTGCAGGACCCTCCTCCCTGCCACCAGTTCTTACATCTCCTGTTTACCAAGGGGAGCCCAAAGAGCCTTCCTAAATATGCATTTCATACTAACGGCCTCTTTAGTAGTCTGTTCCCTTCCAAAACTCATTTTTAAGAGAGGAAAACCACTGTCAAAGGGAGCTGCTCTAGAAGCCATGGTAGAGCAATTAAAAGTAAGGCCAACCTGGGTTACATCCAACTGTCATCAGCTCGTACGTCACCTTGGATAAAACAATCTGCTCCCCCTCTTCAGGAGCAGCAGATGAGAATAACAGCCCCTACCTCTGCAAACCACTTTAAGCTGCTCCAGTGCAGCCGGTATCACACGGGGCAATGGGTGAGCACCGTTTAGGTGCAGCACGGGCTATATGCAACTTGCTGTAAAGCGCCCACCACCTACATGCCGCGCCATATGGAGAGCTCGGCCAGGAGCCTACCCTGCAAAGCGGCCACATGGCACCAAAATAAACCCCGGGCGAGGGATTTGCCGCAAAGCCAGCGCGAGCCTCGCGCCACCCTCGCCTTTAAGCGCTCGCTTTTGAGCCAGCCTGGATATTCCTGGTGGGAAGAGCTATGCAATTTAACTGCAAGGGTCAAGCTGAAGCCTCTTACCCTTGACAGCCTTCCCTTCAATGAAGGCATTCGGAGCAACTCGGCAATTACACGGTAGCTCTCGAGCACCAAAGGACATGCAAATTACAGCGTTCCTGCCTGACAAATTTCCTCCTTGACGGTGCGTTATGAGATCTAAAAACTGCAAGGGACGGGGCAAGCAGCCGCCGAATAACACGGTACCTTCCAGCATAATTGCTATGTTAGCAAAAGAACGTGCTATTACCGGGTATTTATAGGGCAGAGCCATGCAATTACAGAGTAGCCACCAGCATGTGCACATCTCTTGGAGTCCTGTAATACCAGAGTGCTCAGGAGCACACATCTGACGGCTCGGAGAGTCTTTTAGGGAGGCCAGATTAGGTTACAGCCTCTACAAAAAAAATGCTTCCAGGAAAGCTACTCTTCGGTGCTCAGTGCTTGGGATGGAAAAGTATAATGGGACTTCATAACTATCTAAAAAATCACTCATTCCACCAGTTTGGAAACAGCACCATGCTATTAGTTAAGAGCTGGAGGTGACAGGGAAACCCCAGGGAGCACCTAAACATCCTGCCTAACGCAATAGCTGTGGTGCTGCTGCTGAAACACCCTCAGCCTTACACTCCGTAGGAATCCCACCCCTGTGTGATGTTTTCCAAGTATCTCCAGCCTGGGAATCTCGAGCACACCGAGTTAAGCAGGAGAACAAAGGCAGCTGAGGTGGCCACACAAGGACAGTGCTGGCTGGGGGTTGCACCCAGGGCTCTGTTAAAGAGCTGCAGGACCTACAGCTGCCTCCTTATATAGGGATCTATAGGTCCAAGCTCCCGCAGGATTCACGCAAGGGCCAAGGATGCCTGCAGGATTCTCTCTCGGAAACGACAAGGAGCCGGGATCCTCTCCAAGGCTGAGGAGGAGCCAAGCTCCGGTCCCACCAACCTGGTGCCCTCTGTGCACAATCCAGGCAGGACACGGAGCCTGCGGAGCTGCTTCCTGACTGATCCACATGGGATCTGGACACGGTTCTGTGAAAGGCGACAGACCCAACAAGCTCGACGAGGAGCGACCAGGATCGGCCGCTTTCACAGCTCTGTTTCTCTGCTGCGACAACCGCAGCCACAGAGCCCGGCCTTGCAGTGGGGTTTGTTTTTCATCTTCAAGCCAACTCTGTCCAAATTGGCATCTTAAAACCAGCAAAGAGAAGATATCCAGAAGGGAGAAGCCTTTCTGCAAGTTCTCTGTGCTAACGCGGGCAAAATCATTCGAAGGGAAGGCTGGACAACGCTGGCCCGCACCGCGGAACAGTGAAGCCGACGCTCAGGAATGAGATCCAGGACATTTGGGAAAGGGCCTCAACTCAAGCTCAACAGCGTGGCCGTCCAAAGGCAGGAATTCTGCTATATTGCCCCCAGGACACTCGGTTAAAAGGCACAACCTTCTTTCCTGGCACTAAAAGCCCAAAGCAAAAGCATTTCTGGTCATTTCATATCTGCTTTAAGCACAGCAGAACTACAGTAAATTACACCAGAGCTGTACAAAGAAAGTAGGCTAAACCGGTGATACTTAATGGCTTTCCCAAACAGGGTTTCTAGGTACAAAGGAAAGCTGATCCTCCTCTGCTGCATGATACACTAACCTATAAAACTGAGGGGAAAAAGTAAATCAGGGCAGGCCCCAAGCGAAGCTCACAGTTAGGCTGTGCTTTGGGTGGAGGCAGGTCCAGACGGAGCACGTCAGGCACGGGACAGGCCAAGCCAGCCCACACGAAGATGATTCACAGCCCCAGGCCACTCTGGCTCGGTGGTGTCCCCAGCTGCCACCCTGACATGGAAGCCGCGGGCACCGGTCCAGCATCCTTGTCACACCGTGATCCCTCCTGCTGACCTCCCTGGATCATCTCCCCCACACCAGCCCCTTCCTCTGGGCATGGATCAGCTGTAGGACACAGGATTTCTGCTTCCACGAAAGCACGATCCATGAGAGTCATCCCAGCTCAAGCAGCTGAACTTGTGAGGTGGTGGGAGCAACCAACGCAGCACCCCCAGTCCTACCATTAATTCCAGGTGCAGCTCATGTAAATAACTGAAAATATAGCCCTGAAAAGACCAGGGACACTCTATGGAAGTAGCTGAAGTAGAATCTTGCACCAGGACTGTATTAAACAGGTCATTTTCTATCGCAAACACAACAAGCTCATCAATGATGAACAGCCACCAGATGGGACTGCCCATGTCCTCCGTAGACCATAAAAATGACTATCACTTCCAATGGGAATGTGAGGATAGGCACTGAACCAGACCACAGGGAGAGTTTTCTAGCTTGACAGGGATCACAGAGCTCCTCCTCTTGAATAGACAACTCATTGTCATTATAGACATCTTTTAAGATGATTTTAATGGAGCCCTGTCAGTTCTTTTAGTGATAGCTTTATCCGAAAGTGCTATTGGCCTTGTCTCCCTGCAGTTTTGAAGTGATGCTGAAGATAAGTGAGAGGAAATGAGCAAGAGAAGCTACTGGCATCTAAAGAAGTGCTGGTTTTAACCATCAAATCAAGTGCCCAACTTGGCCTGCCCAGGTAAATGATTCCTCCTATATTGGGTCACTCTTTCCAGCTCTGTTCCCGATTGGAAACATAAGGCCTACCAGGAATAACTCAAATGAACTGAGCAACCAGGCTAGGTGCAGTGTTTATAGCAAACCTGGGAAGCGTTCTCTTCTGAAATCCACACAGGTGCCAACACCTATGGCCACTGCACCAGCTCTCCACCTGCACCCCTACGCGCATCACCACATGTTTAGAGAAAAAGGGTAAAAACAAAAGGCAAATACTCTACTTGAATTGCTGGTCCTTGGTGCTCCTAGTCTTGGCGAGGAATCTCTCAGCCAGCTTCTCCAAATTCCTCGAGTAATCCATCTCGATCTCGGCCTTCTTGCGGAAGAAATCCTGCAGGTCCTGCAGCAGCTGCACGCGAAGCTCACACTGCTGGTCGAGGCATTTCAGCTGCTCCACCAGCTGGGCGCGGATCTCTGCGACGAACAAAAGCATTAGAGATTAAGCAAAAGCTCGTTAGAGGAATGCCATGAAGCTCTCTAGTGGAATACGGTTCAAAGCCACGTCCTTTCGTTAGGAATAAATCAGCAAAGCTCCCCTACGATTAACTACCCACAGCCCTCCGGAATGGCTACGGATTCCTCGCAGGCTCCTGCCGATGCAGGACCAGGATGTCACGTGCGCTGGGGAGCTCCCCAAAGGCCCCACTTTGGGGTTATTCCCTTAGGGCCTGTGTCTCCAGCTGTGCAACTCTTTATGAACCAAGCCATGAACACAGGAAGGGACACCTCTTTGCACAGAGGAATGACAGTTCTTCCTCGGCTGGTGCAGCCCTAAGGAGAGGACTTTTCTATTAAAAGAATAAGAAAAAAAAATATGCTTTGCAAGTTGCAGATCTTCATTTACCAAGTAAATAAAGTAGCTACTAGTCCAAGGGTTAATACAATTATTAAACATAATTATTACTGGAGGTATCTATTTGCATTTACACATTTTAGCAACAGCTTTCAAGACATTGCAAGAGTCTCACCAAAAACACGCTGCCAAATCACCAACCAGCCCCGTTTTCTGAGGGGGGCGTTAGCGGCTGCGGGGGGAACATGAGGCCTTGCTGCACGGGGGCAACGTGGCGCATCTCGCAGCAACTCGCCACCAAATGAGATCAAGAATGCAGGAATTTCCTGCGGCTTTACGGGGCCTTCCCGGGCATGAAGTGTCTGCTTGTTTTCCCTCGGCTTACACAAGCAGCAGATTTTGCTCAGCCGCGCTCCGAGGACATACCAGGGCGCGACACACTGGGGGCCCTTGTGCCACACAGGGCCTTTTGTGGGGCTCCAGCCACAACACACACGTTTTCATGCCGAATCCGCTGCTTTGGCGGCCTCTAATTCACGCCGCTTGCCAGGCCAGCGGGCACTTTGGGAGGACAAAAAGCCTCCATGCTCCTTTTATAAGAAATTGGAGACCTTACGGACCTCTCGATGCCACCCTGGGACAAACGGAGGCCGAGAGCAGCCTCGTGTAACGCCCGGCCTCCCATGGCCGAGGTTTCCAGAGGCTGCGAGCAGCCCAAGTTACCAGTTCAAGATCAAGAAGCCCGTAGTGGAACCTGGATTAAGCATCGAGCATCCTCCCCCTCACACCAAGCCTTGCCCTACACTACAGGGTGCCCCTACGGTCCTCCCGGCTCCTGTGCTCAATTACTGCATAATTAACAGGTCCCTAATAGCAAAAGAAAACACAATTCTCTCCATGCACTGTTTTCTTCTTTCTACTGCAGCCTGGAATCGTTTGGATTCCCCTGCATTTCCCCTTCCAATAAATGTACCTGTTTGTTCACAAATGCACGCTCACCATGCTCTGCACAGGCAGCAGCCACAAAAGCTGCAAAGCACAGAAATCAAAACTAACCCAACCCAAAAGACGCTCGGAAACATGAGTAAAATACAGTCCTAGCCCTAAACTAGGAACATTTATCACCTTTTGCAACCTGACTGATGTACAGCAATTCCAGCAAGAGCCGGGTCAGTGACCAGCAGAGCAATGCCCCAAACTGGTCTCTCACGGGAGTATTAGGGACTATTTCCACACTCCACTTCAGCTCTCTATAGACGTGGGTCCCCCAGTAAGTGCCAGTTACACCTGATTTACTGTCCTGAAGAGCCATATTACGGCTCATTATGAGATAGACAACTATAATCGCAGGCACTGGAGAGGAAATTAATTTTTTATCCTACCCGCTGCAGCACCATCTTACCCATCGAGTCTCCAGCTCTGCTGTTCAGCTCTTCCTCATCCCTCCCAATCTGTTTCAGTTTATTCCCCAACTCGGCAGTCATTTTCATCAGTTCACTTACAGACAGGACGACCTCCCGCTGCACGGCGTGAGCTTCGTTTTTGCAGTACGCAACAAATCTACTTCCCTCTTGCTGATTCTACCGCGACTCACACAAACGCAGCCTTCTGGCTTTTAGTATTTACAAAAATATACATGGATATATATCTACACATACACATTTTGCATGGTGGAAGTCACCAAAGCTCCCATCTGCCTGTCACTACTCTTGTATTCTTCTTTAGTACTTGATGATGCATCTTGAGGGATTTTCTTGAGGGCGACGGACACCAAGGAACACGTGCCAGGTCCTGCTCTTGCATAACACACAGCACTCGGCCTCTAAGAGAAGAATTTATAGGAAAAAATCTCCCTTTTTAGGGCTTTTTAAGGCACCCGTAAACTAAAGATGTAGAAATGGGAAAACAGAGATGTTTCTGTACCATGTGTTTGTTCTTTGGTAGGTCATGAACAGAGCTACGGGGATGAACCTGGACCCTGGAGTCCTCCTGCCTTGGACATCTCCCATTCGGAACAACGTTCTCGCTCCAAGCGGGATCATCTCCCTGCCCAGGGTTTAGCTTTTCCCGGTGAAAAGCTGTCCCCAAGTACTATAGCAGGACCGAATCTTGGCCTTCACACCAGAGGCTTCCAGGAAGGGCACGAGGAACCCAAGCGGCTCTGCGGGATCCAGTTGTCCAGCCACTCATCTCCAGTTTTTCTCAAGACATTCCCACCACTATCCCGAACGCCACGAGCTCTTTCAAGAGAGGACAAGCTTGGGAAAGGAGTGGGATGACAACAAACCAGAGCGACCAAGCGGCGGCTCCCGCCCAGCTTAAGCAGCGCCGGTCTCGCCCACGCCGGCAGGGCCGGCGCCGCTCGGGGCCTCCCCTCCTCGTGCACTCCAGCTGAACACAAACAGGAGGCACCTCCAAGTCAAAGCGAGACACAAGCAAAGCAGGAACGGGGAGGTCCAAGCCAGCACCCTGGGAAACCTCACCGCAGCTCGGGCTCTAGGAAGCAGGGCTGGATTCGAGGATGCGGAAGGTCTTTTCCAACCACGATCGTTGCAAACAACTGCGCCCGTCACGAGCATCGCGCTCCGGCACAGCCCTGACGTGCCCTGATCCCAGCAGCGTGTCAAAGAGAGCCCAAAGTGAGCAAAACATCCACTTCACACCAAAGCCTTGTGCTGTGGATTAAAAACCCCAAGCCCTACAGATGGGAATAAAAGTTAAAGCCACTTACAGGTGAAAAAAAGGTACAGAATGTGTTTCCGATTACCTATTTTGATGCGTTCCCAGCATATTGCTAATAATTGTTTGTATTTCCCTATCATTAAGGCATGGGCAGCTGTAGTCTAACAGCAAAAGATTTCAAGGTTTTATAAAAGGAGCCTCGTTTCTTAAAATGATTAAAAATAGGGCTGTGACAAATGACAGACAACTCCGCAGCGCAGGATGCGGCCAGGGGGTTGGGGGATTTCGGAAAGCCTTTATATAGCAACAGGGAGAACCTCATGGGGCGAAACGCCTTGCAAGCCGAATGCTGCTGATCACAGCCTGAAAATCTCCCTTGTAAATCTAAAACCTCAGCTTTGAAATGAAAATGATGGAAGAGGAGGAAATGCAGGCTCTGCATAAGACCAGAGCCCAGAGATTCAGTTTCGTGATGGTCTCAGCAACTGCATGCTCTGGAAAAGGTGTATTTTCCATTAAAAATAACCCAGAGAATTCCTTACAGTATTACCCAATGTTAATATTTCTCAATCCACACAGATAAAAATCCCTTTATAGTTATAATTATATAGCATTCTAGACATATGCGGCTAAAATTCTAACATATGCATGATAAAATTGCTTCCACATCCAAAATACATGCCCGAAGTTTAGCATTAGTGAAGTAGAAGGTCAGTGCGAGGCCTGCTTAAAAGCAAAAGGAAGCAAAAAGGCTAGTTCTTGGTGAAATACTAGGGACAGCCATCCACTATTTGCATACTCGCATCTTAATATATTTGCATCGCTAATTACTTGGCCCTCCCAGGTTTTCTAGTCACAATAAAAGTGGTATTGGAGGAGGGAGACTGTTGATTTCTCCTTCAATGCCACTGCATAGCGCAGCAATCGGAACAGAGATGTGGAAATCTCCTGATTTTAAGCAGCTTTTGGCGGGCGGAGGCTGCCGCAGTCCGAGGCGCTTCTCGCCATTCCCTCAGGAAAAGGGCTTCGTTTGCAACCCGCAGGCTGCAGGGCTTCAAATCCGCAGCGCTGTGGAGCAAATGCTCAAAATTCAGCAATTAAACACGCTGACGAAGTTGTCACAGCATCTGCTCCGTGCAGAATCCAGCTGAAATATTTAGGTATTTTTATCTCCTGCAAGAACCAAGCGAGTCTCTTCCAACACAGCCCCGGCTGCCGCCCTTTCGGGGAGGATGTTTAAAAACCAGATACAGAGCAAATTACCCGCTGCAGGGATTCGCTGTCCCAATCTGCTCTGCAGAACGGGATAGTTCCCCACGCGGGCCAGGGCAACCCGAGGCCTCATTTCTGTAACTAATCCACAGCGCGCACAGACACCCCCCTGCGCAGCAGGAATAAAACCCAAGAGCATCGGGGAATATTTCATTTCCAAGCTCAGTGGCTGCTGATTCAAAACAAACAGGAGTTTAATCAACATACTTCAAATAAGTGAAAAAACAAAGGCAGCCACATGCAAGGAGCGTTACAACTTCTGCCTACAGGAAGTTTTGGAGTATTTTAAGACTGGCTGTGCTCAGTTAAAGGATACCCCAGATGACATCAGAGCAAAAAAATCTGCAACTTGTGCCTACGCTTTCTGCCTCTGCTGCAAGAGATCCTACGAGTTCAGTAATAAAACGACGCTTTATCACTCGTTTGCAGCGTGGATTTAGGCAGCAATAAGTGCAACAATAAAAAGGGATTTAAAAGACTCAGTTTGGCCCGCGGATCGTAAACAAAAGCAGCGCCTGCGCCTCGGTTCTTGCGCCGCATCCAAGGAGATTCCTGCGGAATGATATGTTCCACGCACAACTTGAAGAGCTATTCCCCTTGTTCATGCTGATTAACTTAACAGCGCACACACCACCAAGTAAAAATGAAGTTGCTGAATATTTGTGGG